TATAAACCTCTCATGATAACAGGCAGCCTTGCATGTCATTTTCCTTCATTTCATGCATCCCACATAATCACATACCTAATTATTTAAGGATTAACCAGATCTGTGTGGTCTTAATGTGACTAACATGAAACACTTCTTTTACACATAAAAACAAAGGAGAAACACAAGTTCTGACTCAACAGTGAATGCTGCTGCCATTGAAGATCTAGTGTGCAGACCAGAAATTGATGATGGATCATGTCCTCCATCTTACATCTTATTTTGGATCCTAGGTTTCGGGAACTATAATGGCTGCATCTCCTGTGAAAATGCTCTGATTGGCCCCAAACTCATGCAGATTAAAATAAACCCCAAGAGTAACCTCTCACCATATAATACCAAAGTTATGTCTATGCAATTTCTGAAAACCATCAACAGCAAACACTTTTTAACAGAAAATGTTAACAAAATTTTGGCCCATGAGACCTTGAATATAATAAATGTAGGTCAAATTTAAAATCTTCACATGACTTTCTACCAAACTTCTTTAATAACTTTGCCTATATCTCCTTCAATTTAGAGAAATTTGGCATTTAATTTTTTTAAAAATTGACAAGGGTGCATTGCGACAAACTTAACAACTATGCAAATAAACTGATCATGTATTTCCATGTAGTGACAGAGCCTAAAATCAAGGGGATTTAAACTGAGGTTACATGTGATGTAATTTCAAGAGATGAGGACACAGGTCCTTGTAATCTATATGAGATGCAATATACTGTCAAGTAGACAGGGGCTGGTCTCAACAGAAACTATGGTGCCATCCTCTCTGTTGTAGCAGTATACATGCCTTTCTAAAGGCAGTAGAGGGGAGGGTATCCCTTAAAAAGAGACTATCTTCATCTGGATGGCTTAATTCCCTAATGAAGATGCTCTGAGAGACAATAAAATATTGGAGGTAAATAATTTCAATATTTAGCTGTTGATTGAAGAAAAAAAATACTTTATCCTTACAGGGAATTATATTGATATAATTTTGATCCTTATAACATAACACAGTTCATAGAATTCTTCTCTGGCATTCCAATGTAAGCTTTGAAATTCTTAAGCTTCACTGATTGGTATCTTCAATTTTAACATTATGAATAAAAAGAAAACACATTTGGAAATGGTAAAGCTTTATTAATTTATCGTATGCTACTACAACAAGATCAATTAATGAAGACCAAAAAGAAATGTAAAATATTATATAATGCAGCTATAATACTTCAGTAAAAAAAATACTTGTTATATGAAGTACACTTTATATATCACAATATTTTTAACAAAAGAACTTGTCTAAATTCACAAAAAATTAACCTGGAATGTTAGTGGCATTACAGCTACAAGTTTAAAGCCTCAATTTTGATTAATTCTTTATAAAATTTATTAAAATATACCTCTAAAATACATGGAAAACAAACAGGCATGTAACAAAAGGAAGCTAAAAAGTAAAGATTTACACACATATCTTACTTGTTCTGTGAAAAATGTATCTGTTCATGTATATCATATATGTTTCACAGACAAAATTATACCACAAAAATATCACAACATGTTGAAATTTATCTTAGTTACAGACATACTAGTCTTATTTTTTGGCATACATGTCAAATATAATACACATTATTAGTCAGAACAAGTAAGTTTTTCAAAAAGTAATACTATTTTTTATAAAATTCTTGATTAAATACAGAGAATATTGCTTTATAAAAACACTAGACTAATTGATTATATTTTCAGATATTTTTATATAAAAATGTGAAATTCTTGGGAAAATTAAATCCATCTTCAAATTAATAAGTTTGATTTTTAAAACCATGTGCCTAGTAGAAAATTTGTTTTCTAATAATCTGTTTGGAAGCCCTGTGATTTTAATTATCAAATAGGATATTGTTTAGCAATCAAAATTCATTGATGTCTGTAGAGGCATATCCAAATTTTACTGGATAATTCAAAATAAAAACATAAGCAGAATCTCTTGCACTGAGCATTCAATTGGCTCCCAGCTTTCCTAATTTTATTAAAAGAAGGTTGCACCAATGTACAGTCATGAAAAAGAACTGTTATTACTTTATGGTATTGTCATAAAAAACTCAGACTTGAGCAGAAATCCTTGATATTCTTTTTTTCCTTGACCTCTCTAAGTTTCGTGCTGAGTTTCATCACCTGAGGGTGGTGTTTGCATAGGAGCCACATCAGTGATAGGTGGCGCCAGCATAGGCTCGTCCCCAATCTTAATCGTGACACTCCCAGGTCTAGGCTTCCCATGAATAATCTGTACATCATCTCCTGTGCCAGGCTTGATTGTCACAGTGTGGTCTTCTTCCTTTATATCCACCTGACTAGTGTAGGACTTGGGTGAGGAACTGGAAGACACTGAAGGTTGGGAGGCAGGCTCAGCATTAAGAACAGACAAGAGGCCTTCTTCAAGTTGACTGGTTGATGTACTTTGATCTTCACCTTTGAAAGAGCCCATGGCTTTACCCTGAGGACGGTCATATTCCTCATTGGTTCTTAATGCAACATAAGAGGGATTACTGATACCAAGTTGGTCTCCAAACAGAGAGTCGTCATCAAATTCACTTGCCTAAAATAAATCATCAGAAAATTAACATGTTGTTAGTGTAACTTATTTATTGGTTTGAAGACAGGCACTGTTTTCCTTGATAATTAAAAAAGTTCAGCTAACTTTTACAGCTTATACCTGGTCTTGCAATTTTCTGCATCTTCAATTGTCAATAATTAATTTGCCCATGTACATGTACCTCCCAAGTTGTCTGTATGATACTTATATAAACTATTTAGAATTACCTGCAGCACTATGATAACCAAATATTTATCCTTGATTGTGCCATATGAAAAAAAGTATAACCTTGGAATCAAGGGAAACAATACTGTAGCAACAGTTTTTATATGTGCAAACATTTCCAGTCACTTCCACATATACCACTTACCTTGAAGACAGAAGGTGTTCTTCCAACCCCAGAAATAGATTCATAGTAATGCAAGTTACTCCTGTAATCCTTGTCTTGTTGGTACATTGGTCGTGTAGGATCATGTCTGTCAGACCCAGGGACACTGGCACTCCTGGTGTAGGGGTAGTCTCCCATGACAGTAGTGTGTCCATTGAAGTCTTTACGATGTAAGTTGTCATACTTGGCGGGTTTCCTGTATAATCATATTTAAACTTAGTTTATGGCAGTAATTTTCCCTCAAACAACGGGTATTGAAATTCCTCTTTAAAACAATTCTAAACATGCAAAGTGTATTCAATCAGCATACACATTTACACTTCAGAAAGAAACACATATTGTACAAAAAGATGTGACCTATATGGGAAGGTAACTTACTTTTTTCTGTTTCTCCCGACAACAACAACAATGAGGGCGATCAGCAGTATCAGAGCCACTACACTCACTACTATGACAGCAATTAAAGTCACAGGAACACCTGAACACAGAGCATCATCATATAGTTTAACATTATGTTTTTATAAATATCTAAATAAGTGTCTGTTCTTTCATCTTTATTTTTCCATCACATGGTAACCAAATGTAAGTTTTAGTTGTTATTGTTGTTTTTCAAATGACACAATTACATCTAATTTACCATAGAGGTTTAACATTCTATAACAGATATGTCAGTCAAGTAAGGTTATGTATTTTATCTTACCTTCTGGTGGATTAGTGGTCACTGGAGTCACTGTAGTTGGTACCCGAGTTGTAAGTTCTGACAAAAAGAAGAAGTAATTATAAGTAAACCCACATCATAATAAAGGAATTCAGCTTCAGTAAATTAAGGTCACTTACATCAAACATTAAGCATGAGGACTTTAGGTAATCAAACCCACCCTTTTGTTTGATTCTAAAAATTGAAATACACTGAAAATACAAGCAGTAATGAAATTCGTTTTTCAAATTAAAGAAAATATTTTTGTGCTAAGATAAAATTGCTGGTTAACTAAACAAGTGGGTAACTAAAGAAATCCTCATAGCAGCATGACTCTAACAGAATAAACTTTAGATAGAGAATTCATTCTAGAAACAGTAGCAGGTGGTGGAATCAAATTTCCTCCAATTATGGGTACTGTACCTGGTGGTCTCTCATTTACATAGACATACTGATTGTCAACAGATAGCGTCTCCAGTGTCCCCCCTTGCACGGCCTCATTGAGTGTGTTTTCAAGTGCAACCGTTATATTATTCATGTTTGCTTGTGGTACTCTGACAATGACTTGTGAATCAACAATGATACTTCCAGGACTGAAAAAGAGGGAAAATTGGATAATCATATTGCAGTGTATACTTTTTCCTTTTCGAACTCCAAATAATTGAATATCGGTCTGAAAAAATATCAATGCAAAGCTTATTCAATCGATTATTAATCTAATTGTAAATGGGGATGACTAGAACATATTTTTCAAATTTTTTTATTGCAAAACAAAATCCTCTAAAGAGCAATGTGTAAATAAAAATATTGCAACTGAAAAAAAAAGAGTGCACTGCTTTCTAAAAATTATGTAATTATACACAGAACTCATAAAAAAGAAGAAAATGCAGCAACTTTATTAAAATCATCATGTACACAATTTGCACTTACTAAAATCCTAAGATTATCACTTTTTGGAATCCAGTTATGTTAGAAAACAATCTTGTCATCTGAAACAGATTAAAGCATAGGACATGTTGAAGAAAGTTTTCATTGCATTGGCTACTCAATAATAATAATAATATTATTAATAATTATAATAATAATGAAAAAATGCATCTAGCATGATAAAGGCAAAATGACAGTAAGTTTAATCTAGGAACAGAGTATTCACAACTGTCCAAAAACTAGTTACATAATATTTCTTTAAAAAATATAAAAGTAATCATATAGCTATGAATGTATCACATAACTTACAATGTTTACTATTTGCACAGCCAGATTTTTAAAATCTTCAGACTGGGGGTCAGCCAAGGTAGCTGTATAGTTCTTATTTGTCACCTTAATGTACACTTCAACTGACACGTTTGTAGGAGCAACTACAAAACAAAATTAATCCAAATCAAATAAAAAATTAATGCACATGTTATATTTCATTGTAAACTAACTACACATTACTGGGTGAGGAATGAGTATTTTCATTTGCTGCCAGATAAAAAAAATCTTTAGAATTTTAACATTTTTCCAATATTAGCAATCCATTCCCCATGCTATATATTTAATACCAATTAATTTGACCATAGCTTATGTAGCAAATATCTGAATACAATGCACAATACTATTAGTAAGCCAATGTCAATACCAACAGAATGGCTATCTGTAAGTACACATTAATCCAGAATGAGAACAAGTTAAAAAAGAACTACATACCAGTGGAAGTTGTAAAAGATGGCGTAGTTTCTTGAGTGCTACCACTAGTTTCTGCAGTTGCTGTGGTAACTGTGGTACTGTCAGTTCCTGGAGTTGTTATGGTAACTGTGGTACTGTCAGTTCCTGGAGTTGTTGTGGTAACTGTGGTTCTATCAGTTGCTGTGGTTGGTGTGGAAACTGTGGTGCCATCAGTTGCCGAGGTAGGTATGGTCATGGTTGACACAGTGCCTGGAGCCTCTGTGCTCGCAGTTTCTGTAGTTGCACTTTCTGTGGTTGTTGGCAATTCAGGTGTTGTTGCTATCACACGGCACTGGTCCATATCTGTTGCTCCAGTGAAGTTTGTGGTGGTTCCAACAGGGCACACCTGACATGTGATGCTGACAGATACATTCTTGTATGTTCCCATAGGACAAGCTTCACATGTTCCATTTACTGACAAATCAGTGCCAGGGGGACAGGCTGCAAAAACAAATTGTATTTTAGTCCTATCAAGGTAAATGTTATTATTTTGAAGTAGTTGGAAAACTTTCTCTTTCTCAGGACTGGACTTTAAAATAATGTATTCTCTAAGAATTTCAGCAAAAATTGCATATGTATCTAATCATTCACATATATACCTATACATAGGGAGGCCTCGTGTGCCCCTATCTGCTGTGTGGTAGTTCCACTATCACAACCTCTACAGAACTTCTGGTTGACCTTGTCCTGGTAGAAGCCAATAGGACACTTGACACAGCTGTCCTGAGACTCCTCATAGTAACTGCCTGCTGGACATGATTCTGCAGAGATAATAGAGGACATATCCGTTTTAGAGTAAATAACATACATAATTCTTACACAATGACTTATCTGTTGACAGGTGGCTAGGCCTGTGTGAAAAAAGATTATGTACATGTATTTTGTCAAAAAATAATACTATAGACTGAACCTTCAAGAAATCGCTAAAAAGGGACTAAAGCTCTTAAATTTTGTCCATAGGTTGAATATCATTTTTAAAAAAATTGAGTAAATTTTAAACAAACAGTTGCATTTGAAATAGAATGCTTCAAACTTGGTGCAAACTGTAACACTAATGCTTTCAAGATCTTGAAGAAAGTGTACTGTGTAAATTGAAGACATTGTAAACAAGCAAGTATATGCCCTGTTTGATACTTTGTATCCGTCACTTCATTGCACTTGACAATGCAGACTGTTTGCATTAGGCATGCTGGGGAAAAAACAACAACAAAGTACTTCCAGTTTTCATCAATTTCATGAAAGTGTCGATTTTTTGAAGGGTGGGTCTATATACATTCAGAACTATATCTATTACTTGGTATTTATCCATTATATTCTCATTCAAATGGCCTGAAAATGAATGTTTGTTTCTTATATCCCAGCCTGCAGCTGTTCTGCTCTTTCAATCTTTTTATATCAGTGCAACACACTGACATCTGCAGTGCCAATAATTTTTTACAAACCAAAATGACATGCTCCGTTCAATTTCACCTACCATGCATTTCAGTGTGAATTAATCTAGATATCATGTAAATGGAATCACTTACTGTAACAGTCAGTCTCGTTCACAGACTGGACATTCTCTGTTACATTATATTCCACTGGACACTGTGTGCAGTCCAGCTGGCCTGTTTCATTACTGTATGATCCAACTGGACAAGGCAAACACTGGGCAACTCCAGTAGTATTCTCATAATACATTCCAACTGGGCAGTCAACTAGAGGGAAATAAAACATATGTTTAAAATCTTTTAAAAAGCCATGCATTGGGTAAGAACCAGGCATCTGAAAAATTGAAATTTAAACCTTTTGAAATTGATCAATAAGTGGTTCCTGTTACAGTAGTTTCTCATCATACAGGATTACGCAGTGGCATACAGTCTGAACCACAATAATACCAAGACTGAAATTCACAGCAGCCCTTTAACTTACCACAATCATTGCCATCCAAGGTTGATCCTTCTGGACAGAGCAAGATGCCATCCACTATGATAGTAGAAGAATCAGCTACCACTGTAGTGTTGTCTACATCATATGTCAACAAGCCATATTTGACATCACGTGTGAAAGCACTCACAATAGATTCACTGCAAAAAAATTAGTGCAATAATTTAAATCATTGATAAAATGTTCTTAAGATCCTTAACTGTTTTACCAAAAAATCTTAAATGCGTAATCCGCTTAGATAGGTGACTTACCAAAGTTGACTACTCTGCAGCCGACTATTAGTGTATTATAAAGAATCTAAAATTCTAGCTAAGTTGACCTTTTAGATTTTTTGTATCATTAGAAACAAAGATTTAAGCCAGAAAACAGTCGTTTATTAATGTGAAACTGGGGACTCAGCTGATTTTCATAACTGTTTAATTCACCTTTGTTCAGTTTCATTGTCTGCATCTGTGTCATTTGGAGCAGCTGTTAAGTCATATGTCACTTCATAGAAACTGTCATTCTGGGCTTGTCTCTTAAGACGAGCTGATCCTCTACCACAATTCACATTAACATTGAACTGACAGCCATATTTGCCACGGCCACAGTCTGTAGTGTATTTGTGGTCTGAAACACCATATTTGAAATTCAGATACATTTAAGAAAAACCTTTTTTTATGTATACAATCAACTACACTTTGTTTCATAAATATTTGAATTTTCATGTCATAATAAAGTGCTCCATGGGAACAAAGTATTCAATTTAAGTCAACCAATTACCAACCAATTCAAAAGATCAGAGAGCTTCCAAATTTGGAAAATAGTTATCCACTGATATGAAATCAATGATTCTTACATTTCAACCTGCGTTTACAGCCTTTCTTGAAAGATTCCATCACATCCACCTTTTCTTTGTTAGTACAATCAGCAGAAGATTTCCTCTTGTGTTTGGCTCTTCCCTTTATCCGGCAATTGGGTTTCTTATAAGCTGCAAGAATATTCAACTGTTTAAAAATGATCAAATACTTCATACAACAATTTTGATAAATTAATGAAATATTTTTTATAAAACAGATTACGATGATTATAGAAACTTGTTGTATATATCATTACAATAGAATGACCTGAGTAGATATCTTATAAGAGCTCTTATCTGAGATTAAAAAATGTTTCCAAAACATTTCAAATATGAACTTGATGCATTGTCTCTTTAAAAAAAAAAGTTCTGTTTGGTTTTTACAATTTTTCTTTTTACAGCACATTTGTGATTACTTACATGTCAAGTGTGAACTTAAAACTACATGGAAAAACTTACGAGAACATGCTGGAACCCTGAAAGGAGCCCCACGTTTCTTCTTGTAGGACCATGATCCATCTTCTCCACATGTGTAGTACTTCGCTGGTTTGTCTGCTTTATTGAATTTATAGCCTTTGTTACACTTCAGTTTACACTTATAGTAATCTCCATATTTCTTATGGTTATGGCCCTTTTTCTTGTGCTTTTTCCTTGCAGTGCATTCTTTGTAGCCATTTTTAGGAGCTGGGAATGGCTCACAGTATGAAGCTAAAACAAAATACATGATATCAAAACAATGTTCAGTATATGTTATAACTATTGGTATGAACAACTGAAATGTTCTACTGAGATGAAAAGTTCAGGATATCTGAATGGAGGACAAGGGGACAGTCAACCCTTCTTTTAACAAAATATTTCAAACTACCAAAGAGAGTCCTGTTCTGGACTTACTATTAGATCAAGTTATATTAATGCCACCACATTCCCTCTGTTAAATTTCACCTGAAAATCAATACTTACTTGTCACAACCACCATGAAGGAACAAGAAGCACAGTTGTTCTCTGCATCACAGGCAGTGTACTGTATAGCATACCTGCCCCAAGACAGTGAAGCACCTGAATCAAAATAATATAATTGAATCAATCATTGAACCAGTAAGTCCCCTGTCAATATTTTTGACACACAATGCCTCTCTTTACTCAGATTTACAATTATGTACCAATACAATTGAATGGGGCGCCGGAAAAAACTGAAATGTGTCACAATATAAAGAAGTGTTACCTCTTCTGTATGGTCTGTCAATCTTGACAACCCCAACATTATCAGTGAACCTTGGCTCTTCCCAATTAACTTGTGCTCTACCATATCCTTTATACACAATTGTTTGGTCAATGGGGCAGTAGGTGACCACTGGTGGGTCTCGGTCTGAAAAAAAAATTGAAAATCAATAAAATGGCAATGACCAAAATAATTATTTTTTAAAACTGGAATATCCAACAGGAAAAGTGACGCTTAAATTTAACCTATGGGGTCATAACTAATGTATTTTGAATTTTTTAGTTTTTTGCTTTACAAGTAAATCCAAAATTACTGATTAAACATTTACAAGCATACCCTCTGCTGAAAGTTCATTTCTTATTTATTCATTTACCTATTGGTGTTTTACACGAAGCACCTCTGAACCCAGGGGGGCAGACCAGTGTTCCTCCTATAGAGGGCACCAGTATTTCTACAGCATTACAGAAGTATCCAAACTGTCCGAGATAACTCCAGGGTAGCATAGCACCAGTGCCCTGCAGGACACTAAATGTATTTCCCCACGTTGCTATCCTTGAGGCCAGAAGACTTGTGGAAAACACATTCACTTGACTAAGGATTCCTGCTCCTCGAGCACCAAATGCCATCTTGATGGACATGCTGAATGCAAGAACACTTGAGCATTACATATATATTACAGCAAGAAGGCGCATGTACATAACATATTTATGCAAGTTATAAAATTCAAAACTGAAATTCAAGGTTTATCTTAAATGTATGACCACTTACCTTGTTGATATGACGCTACTAACTCCATATCCAGTGCCAGACTGTACTAGCTGACCATTAAGATAGACTGACCAGGCCCCTGAAGTACTTGACCATGTTGCACATTGATGGAACCATGCTCCAGTGCTGACTGCTGTGTCCACTTCTTGTACTGTTCCTGTGATGTTCAGGTATGTCTTACTGCTGTCAAACAACAGGATTGGCTCACTGAAATATTGAAATTGTAGCCGATCAATTTTATTCAATTTTACTGATTGCTATTCGCTGCAGCTGCATCCAAAGGCAAAAATAACCTACTGATAGTATTACCATTCCAAATTATCAGCAACAATATGTATGTATGGAGGGGGGATACAAATAAGTATCAATATTTGCATTTGGATGGTAAGGTGTAAGACCCAAAAACATTTATCCCTATTCTAGAAATTGGAGAAAAATGACATCAACCACTTTATTTAAAACTTTGTTTCTTTATATCAAAATCTAAACCAAGCAGTCCTGGTGTTAGGCTGATGCAATTATTTTCGTCAAATGTTTTCAAATAAATTACATCTGTCAGACCTTAATAAGCAACATTAACTTTGATTTTGCAAACTTTCTTCCCTTAATGCCATCATAACAAACAGAACATTCATTGATTGCAGGGACAACTTACCCGTTTCCATACAATTCAAAATGTGGTCTATCAACTGTGTCACTAAGATAACGCACCCATAGACAGACGGACAGTTCTGTCATTGTACTTATTGCTATGCCTTGGGCACTACATGCAGCAGTCCCTTGGAAAAGTATATCAAAGTCTGAAGAACTCTCTGAAAGTAAAACCACACTTAAAATAAATCACACTAAAATAAATCAATGATATGAATAATACCCTAAACTGTTGTTTGTTTCATTATCTTCTATTAATTAAAATCCAGATAACACAAAGGCTCTAAAAAGAGGAAATACTAAAGAGATCCAGAATCTATCCATTTTCAAAGTTATATATCACTTAATTAAAATACTCATTCAAAACAATTGGAAAAAACATTCTGCTGGATCCCCAGTCTTAGTAATTATAATGATTCCAAAATAATGCACAACTTTTTTAAACACTACACCAACACAAACTAAGCATCTGTAGTTTTTACCGAATGAAAAAATAGTACCAGCTTACATTAATCTTTTGTAAATCATGATGAAACATTCCATTATATATTATATCCTCACTACATCTAATATAACAAATAACACTTATTAATAGCATCCAGTTAATAAAATTACCTTTTTCACAGACTAAGCCATAGGTCCCAGGGGGACATCTACAAGTGGCACCATTTTCTTTCACACTGTTCACACATGTTGCATTCTTTGGGCATGGGTTAAGAACTGAACAGTAGTCTACTATATCTGCACAAGTCTTGCCAGTGTAGCTTGTTGGACAGACACAGGCAAAGTCACTGACTTTGTCAATGCACTCAGCCCCTTTCTGGCAAGGGTTTGGAGAGCAGTCATCTATGTTGATCTTGCAGTCTTTGCCAGTAAATCCTGAAAAAATATCAATTCTTACATTAAAATAAAGACTATAAATGAATATTATGAGTAAGAACACTGCAGATTTTTTGGCACAAGCAGTCATTTATATGAAATAAATATTAAGATTTTGTTTTGCGCCACAAATTTGCAAAGCAAACTTCTGTCTGTGAAACATGAAGATTAATTATTTTATGCTAAATCTGTACTAAAACAAAGCATAGTCTTTTTGTTTTAATGATTTGGCTGGTTTCTGTATATACATACCTGCTGCACAGGAGCAACTGTACCCATCCACCAAGTCTGTGCAGAACCCTCCGTTCTCACATGGACCAGACAAACACTCATTTATGTTGATTTGACAACGATTGCCTGTGAATCCATCTGGACAACTATAAAAATATACAACTAATTTGGTTAAATTTACAATCAAATGATGTTGAAAATCATTAATAATGTTAAATTTTTTTCTTACATCTTCATCAGGGATGAGACTGTCACTTAGCAAAAAAGCCAGGGGTCCAGGAGGCCCTCTGCATCCAAATCAAAATTGATATTAATTTTTTGGTTTCCAAAAAGTCAGAAATCCACTGATAGACAGAAAAATTTCTTTACTGCTTCATACAGATAAATCACAACCTGACATCTTTTACCCAAAAGACATACAACGCTAAACCTCTTTCAACACGTACCAATACCCTTCTGTTGCATTACAAACGTCCACTGCTCCATACAGGACACATACCTGCAGAAAAACTCATTTATGCCATCATCACAGCTTCCACCATTTAAGCAAGTGTCAGGTGCACAATCTTGGATGTTACTTTCACAAAGTTGTCCTGTCCATCCGCTGTTACAAGTACAGGTGAAGCCATTGAGGACACTGGTACAGTTAGCCCCATTTAAGCATGAGCCCTTATCACAGTTATCAATTATGTCCTGAAATGTTCATGTCAAGTCAATGTGATTAGCAGGCTATATCAAAACTGCAGACAATGATCATCTGAGCTAACAGGTTTCAAGCTCTACATATAAGCAGCATGTAGCTTTTTCAAGTTTTTTGAAAAATAAAAAGTTAATTACTGGAAATATTTAGGTATATTTTTAAAAACAAATTGTCAAGGGAGAAACATCAAATCAAACTTTGAACATTTCGAAAAACTTACTGAACAGTTCTTTCCAGTGTAACCCCTGTCACAATCACAATAATAGCCCCTCAGCTGGTCTATACATTTCCCATTGACACAAGGGTCTGGACTGCAGTCATCAATATTTGTCCCACAATCTTTTCCTGATAAACAATTATTATTATTATTATTATTATTATTATATGAATAAGTTTTGTTGACAGTCAAGATGAAACACCCATCAATCATCATACCATATTACTATAAAAGAAATCAAAAGTTAGATACATTTGTTTTACTTGGTCATGATAAACAATGACTTGTTTTGGTTACAAAGACTCACCAGTCCATCCAGGAGAACACAAGCAAGTGTAGGTATCAATTCCATTCACACAGGATCCTCTGCTGTTGCAGGGTTCATCTAGACAATAGTTTATCTTGTTTTCGCATAAGCGGCCTTCATAACCTAAGATGTACAGATTGAAAGACTTAAAGACTTAGAAGTGATGAAATGAATCGATGCCATGTAACAGAGTACTGTTTTCGCCTCATCTTTTGCAAGAGGTAACTCAAGTTATTCCCCCTCCCCCTTACTGCATGCTCTTGCTGTACAGTAGAATAAAAAAGTTTGCCTTTCTAATATAAGAATTCAAGTGAAACTTTTCTTAACAACATGTAAATTTCTTCTGACATGTTAAAGTCACAGAGAATGGTCAGCCACTATCTCTTCTGTACATACTGGATAACTATATTTCCAGTATTAAGATATAAAGTGACTTACAGAAGAGGTTCAACTAAGAAGTAATCCTTTTGAACCAATTTCTGTCTCATTTTAACCAAATTATCTACACTACACTACATCTGGTAACAGTAATAACCTATTAAAATGCTACCTGGCATGACAGAAAAAATATAAACCTTAAAAACCAAAAAAAAAATTCAACTAAAATCTTAAAATGAACTTACCAGGGCTGCATTTACAACTGAAATCATTCAATTCATCCATGCAGGTTGCGTTGTTCTGGCACTGGTTAGGGTCACATTCATCAATGTTTACTTCACAGTTACGTCCTGTAAATCCAGGCTGTGAACAGAGTTCAAAAGGGTCAGTTTACTTCCAGTTAATACTGAAAATCATTCTTATTACAATAGCAATCTTTTCTTTTATAATCATTAAAATCAATCTGCCCATTTTAGTCAATCACAAGAAATATTAAAAGAAGTGCTGAGACTTCAATCTCCACATTGTGTGATCTGAGTGGGTCACTGAATTACTACTGTTATCCAAAGCAGATATACACCACACTATAACTACCTTGCAATCACATTGATAGTTATTTGTCAGATCTTTGCAGGCTGCTAAATTCATGCATGGGTTACTGCTACACTCATCTTCTTCCAGCTCACAATACTGTCCAGCAAACCCTGGCAAAATGAAGCAGAAGAATCATAGTTTTGATTATTAGTTTAAAGACTTGATCTCTAATATGAATGAGGCAATGTTTGTATTGCCCTTATCCATATGTAAATATGCTTTAGGATGACTTTGTACAAATATAATTTGAAAAAAATACACCTTTGTGGATAATCATAACATAATGAGTAAAGTTTTAACCCCACTGTTTTCTCACCCCTTACCTGGAGGACAACTGCAAATAATGTCATTGATAGCATCAGTACAGTTTCCATCATTTTGGCAGCTCATGGTCAGGCAGTCATCTATTGGAATTGTGCACTGTGGACCCTGGAATCCTGTTCCCTGGTAAACAAAGTAAAAATAATACTTAGCATCCCTCATGATGTCACTGGGCAATAGTTATATTATTGGTGAGTGTGCACCCCTGAAAGGAGGAGTAATTAATGACGATGAATTGACATGGAACTTAGAACCAGGAGTAAACAAAGTACAATTTCTGTATTTTTCATTTATATTGTACTTTTTTTGTAATTTGTTTATTGCTGATAGGTATTGATCAGTTTTATTTCTCAGTGTCTTTTAGATTAAAATGAAACTTAGAAGAGCATCAAAGGCAGACAAAATGCAAGAATTAAACTATTAACAGTATAAATTTACATAAAAGATAGTTCTATGAAGTACCGCTTGATATAAAACTGGACAGCATCATTGATGGACAAAATTGTTTGTATGTGCATACATATCCTGTTCTAAATAATTCAGGTTATCGTGGTTATTTTGGAAACCAAAGTGTTTACATTACATACCTCACATACACACTCATAGGTGTTTTCTGCATTGAAACACTGCCCATTGTTAGCACAGGGACGACTCTGACAGTAGTCAACAGGACTTTCACACCTAGAACAACCATTATAACTCATAGTAATAGTGGACAAATCAATAATCAGATAGAAGTTACATATGGTAATGTATCTTTTGTAATATCAAAAAGTAAAAACCGTAGAAACCATAGAATGCATTTTTCCTTCTATAACAAGCTGCATAATTATTCACCAAAAAATATAAAACCAGGAAATTAAAATTGTTTTCAATTTTTTTCTAAGGAAGAATGTTGTAATAATATGTACCTTGCTCCAGTATATCCTTGGAAGCATGCACAGTCGTATGACAGGAAGCCATCTGTACATTCACCAAACATGCATGGATTGGAGGCACACTCATCTACGGGAACCTCACAGAACCTGCCAGTATAACCTAGAAAGACAAATATTACTGTTTAACATTAAGAAATTAGCTTTAAATGAAATATATACAATAAACTTAAGAGAAATGAAGTATTTCAATACACCATCAGAACTGGACATGATTCAAACCCATAATGACAATGTTTGAATTTAATTGTTCATGTTTCTCTCTCTCTCTCTCTCTCTCTCTCTCTCTCTCTCTCTCTCTCTCTCTGTCTCTCTCTCTGTCTCTCTCACACACACACACACAAACACACGTGTGCATCCACTGATCTTTAATACATATACACTGACATATACTCACCTGGTGGACATGTGCACATGTAAGATCCAATTCCATCCACACAAGTTGCATTGTTTTGACAGTCGTTAGATGAACATTCATCAATGTTAGTCTCACAGTTTTTACCTATAATGACAAAATTAAAAAAAAAATTAATAATGAAGTAGTATGGGTCTCTCTCCCTTTTTCTGCAAACACAAAAGAAAACAGAAAAGTGAACAAAGCTTAAAATGTATCTTGTGAATATTCCTAAAGCCAGAACCAACAACCACTAACCTGTGAATCCTAAAGAGCAAAGGCAGGTGTAATATCTACTAAAACTGTTACAAGTACCATCATTCTGACATTTGCTGGGAGCACACTGATCAATAACTGGAAATGAAAAAGATTTTTTATTATTCTTCACGGATAATATATTTTAAAAATATGCATTTTATAAATATTTGTGTCACTTTTTAAAACTAATGACTTTGCAATTTCATTAGAATGATATCACAAAGTCATTAGTTTTAAAAATCATATTGGGAGCTATACAAATGAAAAACACTTATCTTTTTTATAATAACTTAATGATATACGCTTTTACAAACACCAAACAAAATAAAAGAAAGATACTGCAAGTAACATATTCACAGGGGTTTAACCATTAAATTTCAAGATATCATACCTTTGCAATCACTGGATTTATTACTCCCCATGGAAACAGTAGCCAGTTGTTCTGAGCACTCCTGACACACAGTGGAACCAAACAAGTCAGCAAAGGTATGCCTTGGACAAGGAATGCAAGGAACCAGGCCTGAACTGCTGAATGTTCCAGGGTTACATACAGCTAAAAATTAAGGGAGTTAAACACAAGATTAGAAAAAAAATTCTTTTCAAAATATGTTACTAGATTTATCATACCTGACCAAATCCAAGATAAAAACATATTTCCAAGATATATTACTAGATTCTAAACAAACCTTGTGTGTTTAGCTGATTGCTTAAAACAGTATACAAATGCTATATAGAGGCTAGACTAATTCAAAAGAATGTCCATGTGGCACAATTGCATTAGGGCATCTCAACTAAACACAAACCTTTACACTCCTTTTCTGACACTGCCCCAGCAAACTGCGTGGTGGTTCCTGGATTGCACATTATGCAATCATTAGACCCAGTGTTAGGCTGGTAAGAACCTATTTCACACCTACTGCAAGGCTGTAGCGCATTCTTTGAGAATTCCCCTTGTCCACAATAAGCTAGAAAAAAATTAACACATTTTCAGTATTCAGTATACCAACATAGATATCAACTTATCTTGCCAATGCAGCACTTAAAAACAGTCCTTAAAAATCATTAATCTGTATCACTTAGTTATACATGTAACATAAGGCTAAAAAATTAAAAATAATGTACAAAACAATCTGGATAGCCACACATATATTTCAAATGCCTACACGGTCAGTAAGGTCAAATACCTATACAGTCAGTAAGGTTCTTGGCTCCATCATATCGAGTTGAGGTTCCTGAAGGACAAACTGTACAGTTGGTCTGTCCAAACTGGTCCTGGTAGGTACCTCTGGGACACTTCATACAGGTGCCATTGAAGGCATAGAAACCTGCTGAGCATTCAGCTGCAAGAGATCATGATATAATCAAGGCTGTGTGTCCTGAAGTCTCGAGGTTTTTACCCTTCAGATTTTTTTGAAATCCAAATTGTTTGTTGAAAGTCATAGAGGGTGAATAAGTAGCATGAAAGTGTTTTTGATCATGGTTTAGATACTTTTCTCTAAATGTCCAATGTTGATTTTACTCCAAGCAGTGTATATGAACACTCAATTGTCAGAATTTGTCAAAATTACATTTCATGTTTCCAAAGCAATAAAATTCAAATTTGACACCATACAAACACTTTCGATAATAAATCTTTTAAAATTAATAAATATCAATATCTGTGCTTCTGAAATATATAACTTGTTTTCAAATAGCTAGTTCACAGCTGTGCATTGAAAACTGATAGGTTTATAATTATGCATTTAACATTTAAAGCATACCAGCATATAAACATACCACAGAAAGAGCTCCCATTCTTCACTGTGACAACCTGGCCCATGGGACAAGAGTAGCCTTTTGTAATATTGGGAACACCGTCCAGGTTCAGGTCATTGCAGCCAGATGTAGTAACATTGATGACGGTCAAGGCAGTAGTGGACAAGAGGGCATTACTGATGAGTTCTGCACACTGCTCTGTCTGACTGGCCTGAATATCTGCCGTGGGGTCAATGAAGGACAGGTCTATGGAGGTGTCCAGTCGCAGCTGTAACAGCAATAAAAAATATAAGAAAGAAAGAAATTAAAGAGTATTCTATCAAAATAATGAAATTATCCTAAATATAGTATTTTTTTGGTAATATGTATAATATTACTGAAAAGAATAAGTATTTTGTTCACATTAGTAAATGGGTTATTCAGACAAGCAACTTTTCATTATTTCAGATGTATATGTAGCTAATTAACAGTAAGTTTGGATTATGTATATGTACCATAATTCCTTCCCATTTATTTTTTGCTAGCTTTTGCCCCACTGTTGAAGGCTCTCGTCAACTTCTATTGTGTTCATAAATTGTCTTTCCTTACCCCATTTGTGAGTGCACTGGATCCTAAAGATTTTGAAGTCTTGTTCAGTTCTCCAAAGCCACTACAACTGGTTAGAGCCAGCTGGGTCAAGGCTTCTATCACACTTGCCTCATATGTGGGAGTGCACCCTGCTAGAGAGGGCACAGTAAAATCCAGAGTAATTTGGATGGTAAACTCTGGGAGGTTTAGGACTGGAATGGAATGGAAAATAGCATTTAAAATGATAATTTCATATGAAACAGAGAGGTACAGTTGTGTGTGTGTGTGTGTGTGTGTGTGTGTGTGTGTGTAAGCATGCATGCAGACATGCGAGAGTGCCCGCATGCAGTGCACATTCAAAGAGAAGCACTAGATTGCCAGCAAAACTACTACAGTGGAAAATGTTTATATATAGAACATAGAACATCAATAAATAAAAGCAATTAATCCAAATTGCAGCCACCACAATTTGCACATATTCCAACAATGTTATCAACTCACATGAACAGTCTGGTAAGAATGGACTAGGAGACCAGAGTCCTCCAGAGGTGCACTGACTAGGTTCTGGATCCTCCACAGCCAGAGAGTATCTCGGTCCCTCACACAATATAGTACACAACAAAGCATCCAGGCCGCTGGGCAATTTGTCACTAACACAGCTCTTGTTTCCATTCTGAGGTGGTATTAGGGTCCAGTCTGGGCATCCAGCAGCTGAAAAATCAATGTTGGACATCCATGCAGTTATGTTCATATTTATGAATTTGGATATATCTTGGTGCAACTCTGCTTGAAAACAGTGAAATTGACCATATGGGAACTTTTTTCTATAAAATTTTTCATTCTGATTTTCCTGTGGATAAATTTCTTATAAACAATCAACCAAAACTTTCATTTAATCTCTTTAAATTAAAAAGCTCTGTGGAGTTATTTTATATAAAAGCACTTCAATGTTACATCAATTTCAAATTAATGCAACTAACTAATCTAAAAATTACTTATAATCACTTTGCTATTTCTTGAAGAACTCAGAAACTTCAAATAAATCTTACGTTCTATCAGGAAGATAAAAGTGCAGGATGCATTGTTGCCTGCTGCATCTATGGCTGTCACAGTGACTGTCATTGGTTCCCCAACAATAACCATGGTTCCATTGGGTGGATCATATACTACACTGGCTATTCCACTGTAGTCCCTTATCTGGACGGTGTCCAGGGGGTAGGAGGCAGGGACTTGCTGGACATCAGTGGTCACATTCACTATGACCGGGTTGGCTGGACAGTACATTACGGGTGGGTGGATGTCTATAGGCAAAAAAAAAATAATAATAAATTTATAAGGAATCATTTTTGAAAGTAATAGTGTCAAAAACAATTATGTTTGCTTGTTTAGATGTAAACTGTGAATAATCAACTGATGTTATTAGTATTGCTTACCTATAAGCACAACATTGACAGTACAGTTGACTGCATTGCCTGATGGATCTTCAGCAGTATATGTCACAGTCATATTCTGGAAGAATGGATTACATTAATAATTATGCCTTTTAAACATATCCATCATAGAGTTAGTATTGAGTCTACGTTTTATCTTAACTTAAAAGAATATTACAATATACATATCTTGAAGGTTTATGCTTTATGTGGCTTCAGAAGGCATTTCAAATCCTCATGAGAAAATAGCATGTAAATAGAAGAAGGAAAGTACTTCCATCAATTAAAATATAGAACAAACTGGATTAAGATTTAAATTCCATTCTCATTTTAATCTATTTTGTTTTTTTCCATTTTACTTTCATAAAACTGAATACACACTAAGCCTCCTCCACTAATCTATCATGATAGTCAAGGCTAGCAGACTTACTTTCTTGAACATGTAAGGTGATATTACTCTTGGTGGCAATGACGTGATTGAGACAAGACCAGAATTATCTTCTGCTTGGGGCATGTCAAAGGCAACCTCCTCAGGACCATTCACTCCCAAAGTAATATTTATGTTCTCTGGGCATACTGTGAACACTGGTAGCTTGACATCTTTAAAAAATATTAGAAAATGTTTGTCACTGATCTTTGAACTTGGAGTTAAGACAAAGACAAATTAACTGAGAATCGTGCCTCCATAGAAAATTGTCAAATTGTATTAGGACTGTCATGATTAAAATAATAGTCATATGCATGCCAACTGCTTTCAATGTAAAATAACTTTGCACATCCAAAGGATAAACCACTGCATAATATTTACAGTGGTTTTTACCCCGGAGTCTTTAAATTCTGATCCAATTCAGTGGTCAGTAATTAAGTTTCACATTTACTTTAATTATATATTAATTTTTACCTTGACAGGTTGGAAGCGTTTCATTCCACACTAAGACTAATGGCTGGACAGTCACAGTGCTATTGTCTCCAATTACCACATCACTTGTTCCATTGCCATCTGTTGTCACATTGATAGTGATATTTCCAACATTTTGACTACTCAATAAAGGCTGAGTTATACTCCTCTTCTTTCTTCCTGATCCAACTAAAATGCAACACTGTGTTTAGCTCATTTGTTCATTATGATAATTTAATGATTTTTTACATAACTAAACAAATACAATTTCCTTTTATTTACCGGGTTGTGATTTCTATACGAATTAATTAATTAATTAATATCAGGGAAATTTCATTACCTGGGCAGATTTTACAGGTAATTGGGCACCTATGTTTGACAAGAATCCCTTCAACCAGTTCTTCCTCACAGATTCCAGCAAGGGCAGAGCAAAGGCTCAGACTATCATTGCTATATGTGTTGCAGTCAACTAAAAAGAAACAATTTATAAATCAATGGATAAATGAACATGATTCCACATAAAAACACAAATTCCCCAACAATTACATTCAGGCCTCTGGCTCACAACACTGACACAAAATTTCAGTTTAAAGGAGTTATTTGTTTAGAAACAAATCACATAAAACTTACCAGTACATTTTCTTATTTATTTTTTGTTACATTTACTGTTATAGTAACTATAATACAGATATGGTAAACATATTCAATGAATAAATGATGTAAAGTAGAATACATGACAGTACAAAATATTTATATGAGTGATAAAATTTTTTCATGACACATTCTATTAAAATCTAAATGTGAATTACAAAATATGTAAAATTATTACAGAATGACACTGGCAATAAAACACACACGCACACATAATCATAACAACTTATTTTTTCATAGTAATAGTGTCAGAAATCCTTTGCTCTTTGTTACTTACACTGGTCACATGTTTGCCCAATATAGTATTTGGAGCAAGAACATGAGCAGGAGTCATAGCTAAAAGTTCCCTCATTCTGACAAGTTAAAACCTGTTCACAAGTGGCTGAAAAAGGATAAATACAATATTATTACTGAATAATTAAATATTTATCAGGAACTAAGATCTTACACAAAAAATCTAAAGAAGCTACTATGATGTCATATAAATATTCTCAGATGTATTTCAAATGTGGTCCTTTGTCTTATCCTTGACAAAAGTTCAGTATCTCCAATACAATATATACTGCACATGGCATTTGTAAACGCTATCAGACATTGATGCAAAACCATTACATAAGTCAACAATTTATTCACTCTAAAATATTATCTATTTTAAATCAACTTGACCAAAATTTTCATGTTACATAATTTGGAAATAAGGGGGGACTCTCCCACTTCTTAAACATTTTATTTTAAATCTAGCAACTCCTCTTCCACAAAGAGGAAAATTACTATTTGTGTTATTATTTCCACTAAACGTGATCCAAATGTTTTCTGATATGATTGATCCCTTATCTTACCATTTTCACAGCGCAGACCTTTATATGCCACTGAGCACTGGCATGTGCAAGTGGTGTAGTTCATTGGTTGCCCATTCTTACAGGTAAATCCACCACACAAAGCTGAAAATACCGAACAAGAACATTAAGCTATAAAGTATACTGTACTGCTACTGAAATTTAGTATGAGGGAGGTTTGTGGTATTCCTTCTCCCCTTCCACTTTTGCATTTAGTGTTATGGTAAGTGATTAAGATAAATTATAATTCTCCTCTGTGTCAACAGATGTGTGTGTGTGTGTGTGTGTGTGTGTGTGTATGAGAGAGAGAGAGAGAGAGAGAGAGAGAGAGAGAGAGAGAGAGAGAGAGAGAAATCACTCACCACAGGACAAGTTTTTGGCTTGGCAGTAAGGCTGTGTGGCTTTAAGTAAGAAAGAATTACGAATGGTTACAGCCAATTTCAGTGCATATTTAACATTTCAAGACAGTTTCCCCTCCCCATGTGTACCACTGTCCTGTTTTTTGCTAAATATATTATATAATGACAAGTGTTTGAAATGAAAAAGAAATTACAAAAGCCATTCTTAAACAAAACAATAACTTATCAATATGTTAAATATATTTTGTCAATGACCAGTTATTTTTGACATTTACACATAAAAAATATATCGATACAGCCCTAAGTACATACCACACAGATTGTCAGCAACTAAGCAGCTTTCTCTGTTATCATCATCTGTATTACATGCTGAGCAAGGTGTACCATTCTTGAATGGCATTTCATTGTAGACTCCACCCACAGCAGGTGCAGGGGGGCTATTGAAATATAATGTATTTCACCCTGTGACTGTATTGATTGTATTTTTACAAATAATAAAAATTAATCAATTTCATCAATTATTTTGATACATACTGTTATCTGTCCAAGTGACTTAAATCTCAAGAGAAGTATGAAATATTTACAGTCATACTTCTTGCACAATGATTCAGTGAAAAAAATCACTGAAAAAGACTACAGGTGGTATGGTTAACATAACTATAATTTTTCAGGAATTTATAAGCTAATTATGTCAATTATGCTTACCCTGGTGCATATGCACAAACAGCTTGATGGACACCATTGAGACAGTTACGCAGTGCACAGCCCATTCTTGAAGCTTTACTCCACACAAGCTAAAAAAAGTTATACACATATCTGTTCAGTTATACAAAATACACCACCAAAATTAAAAAAAAGTAGTTTTTCAGAAGTTAAAATCTTAAGTTCACTGCTATTTTCCCTTTACTCACACCTAAAAACAGCATTTGGCCCTAGAAAAATCTTGTAAAACTTCATAAAGTGATATCCTATTTCAATTACTTCCCTGTTTTTCAAAAATTGACCTGCAGAAATAGCAACATGTCCTAACTAATTAGGAACTTTATCAAAAACCTCCTCCAAGATAAATAAATAAGAGAAATTTTGAATTCTTTCAAAATCTTACCTTGTATGGATCTTCCTTGCATGGTGTAACTTCACACTGTGGTTGTGTCGATATCCAGTCCTCATACAATGCTAAGATGCCTTCAACAAGAGTTTGGTTGCTGATATCAAGGGTGATAAGCCCTATGGGTTCTCCTTGTTCTGTGATGACAGAGGCCACAGCAGACATATTACACATTGCTACCAGCCGTGCTGCAACACGGTCAGCTAGATAGTCGCCCCAAACCTGAAGATGATATTTAATCCTATATTCCTGCTTCTAAAACTTTTCATTAGTAAGGGATACAAAATGAGTGTACCAAATAACAACATTGTTTTTCAAAAGTGTATTTTACATTCAAGTAAATGCTACAGGTATATATATAGGATTAACAGTGTACAACTAGGTATGGAAGGTACTAACACATACATGTACTAACCAGTAATATGCTATCATAATTACAGTAAACCTTGCCATTTTGTTCTCAAAGTAATATGTAGTATAATTAACAATGAACTGAATTTCTAAAAGATAATTATTTTAAAAAAAGTAGAAACTCACTGACTCAGCTTTTTTTCTTTTATAGATTACAGGAACACATATGTATTCAAATATATTACAAACAAAGCAGTTGTGTATTCTCAATAAAACTCATTGACTCTGTATCTTTTACCTGTATCTTTTACATATACCCATATTACAAAGTACTCACCAATGTTCTCATGTCTGCTGCCTGCATCAGAGTAGCCACAGTTGACCTATTTGCATTGTGTATTGAAACTAAAGCTTCTGCTTCCTGGCTGCTGATTTCTATTGGTGCTGTTGTGGGAATCGGTGCAGTAATCACAGGAACTGTTGGCAGGACACTCACTGAAAAGGTATTAATTATTCCATTCTTAGGTTTTCATGACTTATATTCAAAGTGTACCACACTTAATTTTGGACAAGATTTTTAGACACACAAACACCCTACCAAGTACCAAGGAGGGGGATAAAATTACAACTGCTATGCAATGCCAATCTGATCCTTCTACCTTTAATTCAGCACCTCCTCCATTAGAAGAATTGAAAGGGTGCCACTGCACCACTTAAAGCAGTCTTGTAACATTTTATGAACAACTAAGATGGCTACCACAACAATTATTTTTGGAATAGCAGGCATCTAGATGATCTAGGTGACACAGATATAACTTGACTTCCTAGAAGGGTACAGTGGCATTAAGAGATCATTTAAGAGAGGTACATGTACCACTGAAGGGGTTTTGCTCATTCCTAAAGATTCAACTGAACATCAATCATGCACTTACAGAAAGTACACTGGAAAGGTACCATGCTGAAAACATAGCCTTGTGGGCATGTCCATTTCATTCCAGCATCTGAGAGGTAGCCAGGACTCAGCTGGATACCTGGACAATCTACAGTGTCCTGGGTAAAGAGGTACAGGGAAGCTGGGCTGACAGAAGTTACAGAGGTAAGAAGATCAGATATGGTTCTCCCACAAGTTTCCAGTGCCATACTTATGGAGGTTGCAGTCACCACAGTTTCTGCATAGAAGTAAGCCTGTAACAAATCAACATCAAGTTATACAATATAAGGGAACATTCCCATAAAACTATCATACTAGCTGGATCAATCTAATTCTGCAGGGATTCTTGCTAAATTGCATTCTGTGTAATCAGCTTAATTGTCTGACTATTGTTATTTACCCCCTAGCAGTTTGAGTAGGTGTACCAGACATTTAATCCACTTACAGTACTTTGGCAAGCAGGCTCCGTAGAGTTAGATTGATCCAGCTAGTATGATGGGCTTACAGAAATGCAGTCTAAGGTGCAAATAAGAAGTGCATGTACAGGTACATTAAGAGAAGAGATGGGCATTTTTAAACTTTATCTTACTCAATCACCTATAACTTGGCATATAGATGTAACTAAAATAAATAATAATTAAATAATGTATAATGTATAAAAATTAATGTTAACTCAATTGTTTACTCAATGTACCTCTGTGGTGTTTGATGCATTGACCAGTATTTCCCCAGTATTCTTTAGTTGAACACCTGGTATTCCACCACACTCAGGCAGAAGGGCAAATATGGAAGCAGTCTCTGGATATGTGTCATCCAGTATGGCTCTAATACTCTGTGTGAAGGTGTCACGGCAAGCATATGGAAGGATTGGTTGAGAGGCATTGTTGCTCCCCATTGTACCATTGAAGGACAGGAGGAAGGATGGTATGGCTGGAGCTAAAACAAAGATTACAGAATACAATAGACTTAGAGATTCCATGTTTTAAACTATCCATGCACTTTTGTTTGTTACATGACAGTTAGAATGTGTAAAAATACTTAAATTTTAATTAAAAAAATATATAACAATTCTAAAACTGTTAGATTGCTATAGAATATTTTTTTTTGGGTGTAAAAATACTGTCTAGTTAATTTTAACCTTAAAATATATGGTTCTTTCAAAATCAGATGTGCTACTACTATTACTCACCTATAACTGTTACATTTGCTGAGTACGTCACTGTCCCAAATACATTGGAAGAGGTGCAGACGTAAGTGCCAACTGCATTTTCATCAGCAGACAGAATGGTGAGGGTAGCGTTGCTAAACTTCAACACAATGTTTTCAGATGATTCAATGATTTCACCAGAGGTGGAGCCCTAGAAAAAGGTGAGTCTCATTAATTTAGTCATCAGAATTAAAACCAAATAACAATTTTGAAATATATATTATATTTGAATAACATTCATCATAATGTGCAGTTACTGTCATTTTCTTTTTATTACAAGACAAGAATGTTTCTCCTATCTAGTTTATTGCTGTTACCCAAGCTCACCAGTACTTGCAATAACGTCATACACAGAAATGATTATTCTAAGTTGGAACACCCTAATATTTAAATGAAATTATTCTCTTCAGAATTAGATATTGAAACTAGGCAATGAGTTGGCACAAAAAACTGCACCTATTTCATTTTGAGTGGTTGCAAAAAGGCCAAATGGTTTGATTTGTTACTGATGAAGCATTTCTCTTACCTTATACCATAACACAGAATCTCCATTACCATAGCAACTGAGGGTCACATTATCTCCATAAGCAACATGGGAATCTTGGGGTGTGGACCATAATACAGGTAAGGCTGAATAATAATAATAATAATAATAATAATAATAATGCAAGCATTACCATATTTAAAAACTGTCACATTAAAAATGAATCATTTATTTTGTTAAAAAATCAAATTTGGTTTCATCTGTAAAGGCTACATCACCAAGATTACTTTTGTCCATAGCTTCATCATTAAATAAACAAAACTGCCATTTTCTCTTAACATAAATGATGTTCATATGACCCTATAAATCATGTACCTCCAGTATACACATCCACTGTTGCTGTATCTCTAACCCCTGCTGAGTCATTAACTGAGCATATATAGGAACCAGCATCAGCAGTGCTGATGTTCATTATCATCAAACCTCTGCTGCTGTTGACCATGTACTTGTCTCCTAAAATATCCAGATAAAATATAAGGCTAAAATAAAAAGAAGCCATGCAGTCTCCCTTCTCCGTCACTTTTCTTTAAAGATTAGCAAGGAGGATATGTGCATATTGCACCATATTGTATTACTGTACAGTGACTAAGGGAGATAGCCGTTTGCCCAAGATCTGTCTTCTTTATCATTTTTTTGTTATGTAATTTTATATAATTTTCTGTAGCATAATTTTATAAAAGTAAAATGTTTAATCAAAATTATACACAAGAATAACATCTTTTCCCCAAAAAATAACTTTACCTTCTGTCAAAACAATTGCACTGTCTTTAGTAAACTGCATTCCAAGTGGAGGTGTCCACAGTCCAACAGCTCTACATTGGATAGTGTCATCAGAATTTACCACCAAATACTGTGGACTTGGAGCATCAACGTATGGTCCTAGAAGTATGAAAGCCATGTTGTACATAACAGTGATACACAGACATGGTCAGTGAGTAACAACATCTTCTCACATCATTCTGATGAAGGGCTATGTCCAGGGTGGCCATAACTCAAGATATGAAAATATTTCAATTTGTGTTTTATATATCCTCCAACTCTCAAGATAATGAACATTTTTGCACAAATTACTGTTTAGTGATCTAAGAAACTTTCAATTCTGATAAATGATGTAATATTCTTACCTGTGCACGTAAAGCCATTGCCTGTGTAAGGTGACCTACAGAAGCAGTTTCTGGTTCCTTCCCTGACAGAGCACTCTGCATTACTGTCACACTGAACTGAAGTATCTGTAATTACTGCAGTTCCATTAACCTTTTCACAATTCCATTGCATGGAGCAATTGACTGACATCCATTTTTCTCCCAGCTAAAAACACAAGGTATTCATTACAAAGAATGTTCAGGAAAAAAAATTAAACTATTTGTAAATTGAGGTCAATTTGAAAAAAAAAGCCAGGGAGTAAAACAACAACTACTCTGGGACTACTACATAGATGCTTTAGAAATAGAGACCATAGCTTATCAATTCTGACCAAGCAGTCAGCAATTAAAATCCTACAAATAACAAGTTACAAATTTTGTGTGGGTGCCCCTGAATGTGTGTGCTGGTGTATGTATTTGTACATGTACATACCTGGTGGTAGTTGCCCCAAGAATCCACACATCCACAATGAGACTTTGGTATACACTTTGTCCCACTAAGAAGATATCCTGGTTTACACATGCAACCTGCCACATTTGCCTTCTTACATGTCAGCGGGGCAACAGGATTAGCACATGTAGCAGGGCAAGCAGAGGTGCTGGATCTGAACACTTCATCTTCACCACAGGATGGTTCTTCAACAAAAAAATTTTTTTTTGTCTACTTAGCAAATAAGTTCTGTTTTAACTATTTTACTTGTATTTATATCTAAAGATTCAATTGCAACACTACATGAATACATATGTGAAAGAATTAGATTGACATTTCTTACCTTGTTTTCACAACATGTATAAAGAATTTTATATCAGGCAAAGTTTACTTAGTTATTTTACAATTAAGAAATAAGAAAAAACTGAAAATATCAAACAATTTATATACATACCACATTGTGCTAAAGTCCAATATTGTTCTCCATAAGTTGTTCTTGGACACTGAGCTGCCAACACCTTCAAACTCCTACAAGCAGCCGCTTTAGCAGTTTCAGAATCACCATTTCTCAGAGCTTTACAAACGTCTTTGGTGCAGGCATAGTACATTTGGTCCACATCCACTATTCCACTCATTATACAGCTTGCAAATGCTGCACTACGATTGTTCTTGATTAAACCACAGAATTTCGTTGTTGCTGCAAGCTGCATTTCATTTTCAGAGCACTGGAAATCTGCTGTTTCTTGTGCACAACTAATTTGAAATGTTACAATAAGTAAATTATACATCAACATATTAAATTTATACTTATTGTACTGGCACACATAATTCACAAACACTGATAAATTTATTTTTGTTACCTTTGAATCTTTGAAAATCATAATTAATTCAATTTATTACATATGCCAGATGAAAAGGTGCTGATATGGTGCTGAAGTGAAGGCCCGTAAATGCTAAATTCAAATACAAAAGCATTCAGTATTTGTGAACAGTTACCTACCTTTCTGACAACATATAGCTTTTGCTAACCATGGAATAGATTTCTTCTTTTGTCAGGTTACTGTTTGAAGTGACAGCACTTCCATTCCTCAGGTAAATATCATCTTCTTTCAGGCCATTGAAGTTGCCACATAATCCAGTCAACTTTTCACTAAACCTTACAGTGGGCAGGGAAATGGAAACCTTGCCAAGTTGCTTATTAAAACCCATTACCAAAATCAAGGTGTCACCAGTAGAGTTCTGCCACAAAGATTCAACATAAATTGTATTCTGGGGACCCATGTATACATTATGTTTTTCATTTTCTCTCTGTAGACTAAATGGTACTGTCCTAGTTATTCCACCGACCTACAAGTAAAAACTGGGCTAGGAGCTGTGCTTATACAGTAATATAATAACTACAGAAACTTAAGGTTTTCATATAACCTGCTGACTAACTGTATTATAATTTTCTTTGAAATTTTACTTCCCATTACTCTATTCATAAACTATCATGATATATCATACCAAGAAAAGTTAAAATTTCTCAACAAAGAATATGGTAATTACTTGATCTTTTTAATTATCAAACTTTTAGATACATATCGTAATTCTATAATCACAAAATGATGTTTCTATAAAACATTTGTGGTGCTTTTACTGCATAGAACAGAACTATAAGTAGCCTGCTTTTTCATTTTGTTGCTTACACTCAAAACAAGTGTTGTAATGTTAAGAACTTATGACTAAAAATACAGTATCTGTAAAATTTACAATTTTCACCCATTAAAAAGATTGAGTAATTACCATATCAAATCATCAAAGACACAACTTTCGTACCTGAACAGTGTAGTCTTTATGGATTTTGACATTTGGCAATCCAGTAAACTCCACCTCAACCCTCTCAATAGGGGCAATATTCAGGCCCTTGTCTTCCGACTCATATGTCACAAAAATGTTGACTGGGTAGTCCGTATTAGACAGGGGAAGGACAAAATTGTAAGTGCAATTGCCTCTGAAGCTCATAAAGGTCTGGTCAAAGGTTATGAAATGTGGATCTCCATAAGCCATACATGTTGATCCAGCTGAAAATAAAAACAGAAAAAGGCGTACATGTACATCATCCTATGCTATTTTTGCTAATTTTGCTAATAGCTAATTTTGTCTGGTATCTAGAATAAGAGGAAAATACAGCAAATTTTTTCATATGGTAAAATATGTAAATAAAAGTGATCAATGCTGCTCTTTAGTTAAAGGTTCATATAATTTGAAAACATGACTGAGGTAAGAATCTTTTATCATCAATGCAAACATACTTCAGAACAACCTTACATCTACATGCACTATTAAATAGCCACTATAGAATATCTAAATATGCGCACAATTTGATAATTTATTGTTTAATTAATGATAAAATTTTTCTTATTTCAAGTTGACTAATTAATATTCCTTTTCTCAAAGAAACTAGTGAGACTCTTTCCAACCTGTACACATGTCACCACTACCAATGTCGTCTTCTGCAGCACAATAACATCCTCGGATTCCATCCACAACTCTGCACTCAGACTGTGAGTTACAGCTGGCATTGTTTGCCACAATAGAAGGTTGTCCCATCCTCAGTTCACATCCATGCCATGTTGAGCAGTCTTCTGACATCCAGTATTCATTCAACTAGAGTTTAGAAATACAGGAAAAGTTAATACTTATTAAAAATAAAGATTATTGATGCAAAAAGAAAACAAGTTCTGTGTTGATGTCCTCATTATTCTATCTTACGGTGAAGCATAAATAAGTTAAAAACAAGTATCAAAAAGACCTTTATTTTGTATTATATAAGTAATAAGTCAAAACCTTTAAAAGTCTCTACCATCAACAGGTGTTTGCTTGTAAATATCAAACTAACATGTGACTCATGGACATGACCAAGTCAAGTATTATAAGTTTACAATTCCATGCCAACTACTCCTAATTCACAGCAGTGCCTTTAGAATAAAAGCTTTATAGAAAATAATGACTGGAGAAAGCAACACAGTAATGACCAACTTGCCATGCTTTCCATGAACAATACCACTAGTAATAACAAAGTAAAAGAGAAAAAACAGGCACTTTCCCAACTACCCATAGGAAACAAGGACTCAACTTAATCCTAAAATACCTCATGATAGTTCCCAAAGCTGTCAGTGCATCCACATTCACTCTCAGGCACACAACGATAGCCACTTCGTATGTACCCATCTTCACAGGCACAGCCCTCTGTTGGTAGTGAGGTGCAGTCCCCAGCAGCATTTGGACTGTGACATGTGGCTGGGCAGAAGGTGGTACTAGTTGAGTATACTTCATTTGGACCACAGGATAAGCCTAAAGAAAACATCACCAGTTGATGAAATTAATAAATTTTACAGTTTGTGTCTAATATCAGTACAGATGGTCTGCATGTATCTTGTACCCTTAAAGCTACGAAATAAATGTCATTGAAATAATATATAGGGAATTACTGGATCATGCCAGGTTTCATCCTTAACCTACATTTTTGGGCAGTGTCACTTAGTAATCACCATAAGTTGGAAGCAGAAAAAATTTAAAAAAAGAACAAATCCATACTCACTGCAATTTGAGACACTCCTCCATGCTTCAGTGTAGCCATATCTTCTACACTCGTTTGCAAATGTCTCCAGGACTTTACAGGCCATCTGCTTGGCTCTGCCTGTGTTGTTTACACCGAGTTCAGCACACACATCAGCCTGGCAGAGACTGTACATGCCTTCTATATCAATGTTTGCATTGTGGATGCATTCGGAGAACACGCTACTGTCATCTCTCAACAGTCCACAGTATTCGGTTGCTCTTGCCATGTCTAACTGATCCACTGTGCAAGTGATGTTGGGAACAGGCTCAGCTTTACCAAAATGACTGAAACAATAGAGCATACATGCTACTTGGCAAATAGCTTATATTTTCCCTCCTCTTCTGTCCCTCAGTGTAAATAAATCTTATCAATGAAATTTTCTCATAATGAAACAAAAGTGACAATTTGTTATTATGGTTAAGTACATGTATCATGAAAATCATGACCAGTTAGCATGACATGAGTCAAGTAATTTACCTGAACTGCAGGTCAAGAATGCGATAACTGTTGCCTATCTGGGCATACACATTTTGTATATTTTCACCAACATTGCTGACATCAGTTCCATTGGCCAGCCTCAAATCATTGGTCTTATCTCCATCAAAATTTCCACATATGCCACAGGTTCCTGAAGCATATTTTCTTGGTACCATGACCTTAAGCATTTGGTCACCATCGTAAGTAACCATAAACCCAGCTGTAGTGACCAGCTGTATCTGACCCTGTGAGTTGTAGGTGATGTTAACACCTGTACCTGGTATGGTGTAAGGTAGAGCTAATACAAGTTCACTGTTCACCTGTGAGAAAAAAGAAAGAGCAAGACATCTTATATACTACAAAAACATTCCATTAAGTCAGAAGTAACATTCCCTACATGATGGATAATTGACAATGAATATCTCCCGAATTATCTTTAAAGTTGAAAATAATGCATTTGGATTAGTTACCTGTGTTTGTATTAAAATGACAGTGATCTATAATTCTACCCATTCTTTTGGTACATGTATGTGTGCATGCATAAATGTGCCCATGTGTAAATGCCTATTTAGGGTAGGGTATTTTGGAGAAAAAGATCGACTGGAAAACTATTTTTCTTCTACTCTTAATCCACGCAGCTAGTTCAAATACAGTAACACTCACACTCAGTTGAACACTGAAAGAACTTTCCCATTAAATCAATTACCTTAACAGACTTTCCAATGCCAAACACGATGGTGTTATTGTCAACTGAAGTTTCTACAATGATTTTATACTCCATTCTGCTTATTCCAACAATAGTCTCCGTTCTCGTGGCAACTTGGAATCTATTCATGTCTGAGGAGACTCCACACAAACTGATGAACTGGTACTTAGCAGTCCCTTGGAAAGAAATGATTTGGCCATCCAGGGTCATGTAGTTGATTCCACTAAAGGCAGTGCAAACCCCAGGTTGTTCTGTATATCAAAAAAGAACAAAAAAAGAATTTAATATACGATTTATAAAATGACATGCATAATCAGAATTTTGATATCAATAAGCAATATCTTTTTTGAAAACCTATATCGACCTATCTATAGTTGGGCACAGGTAAAAATCTTAAAATTGTAACAAACATGAGCCAACTTTGTCAATTTGTTGTCAGTTGAACTAATCAAATGCTTGTAATAACTGAAAGTAATGAATTTGTACTGGCCTTACTTACATGTATATCAGACATGAGCCTGGGTTAAAAAAAAACCTTCGATAATTTATCGTGGGACCCAAGCTCATGTCTGTTATATACAGAATTATGACTTTTCATTACTTAGAATACTTACCTTCCACTGGTGGCACAGTTGGAGGAGGTCGTGTTGTAGTTATGTCTGTGATATTTGTCACTAAAAAAAAAGGAAATATGTAAGGTTTAGCAACTGTCATTGTTATCAAAATGTGATCAATTTCAGATACATTATCAATAAAACAATCATCTTGGTATAAAAAAAGAACAAAAACATCCATTTTGTGACACATGAATTAATTTAAATATAACAATAAAAAATCTTACATTACTCATTTTTCAGAAAATGCAACAAAATTGCAATTTTGTAACAATGAATGTGTACCAATCTGAAAAAGAGGAGTATGTGCCACTTCAACCTTGTGAAACCATTTCCATTGTGTGTGAAATAGTTGAAAGCCTGGATTTACACCTAAGGTGGCCATGCCACTGCAACTGCTGTATGAGTGTCTCTAATGCAAATCTTATACAGTAATTCAGGATTTCCAAATAACAGCACTCAAAATGTGTAGATCTGTTAAAATGCAATCAATAAAAGAACGTATGCAGTCAGTGGAAGTCACCATTTAAAAAAGTGCAAGTTGGAAACCCTGAAATCCTGAACCCTGAAAATCTGCCATGATCATGTGTAAAAATATAGAACCATGAGCCCTAAGTTTACCTCTTGTAACTCCACAGTTTATCTTACTGTGCTTATTTTTTCAGAGATGGTACATTTCTATCACAGATTGCTACCACTTGCGTGTTCAAGCAATTCCGCTGATGTATTTTTACCCTTTCTGTTTATTTAATTCATTGTATATCAATCACCTGCTGTCATCTATAGACCTTACTACACCCAGTTAAGAAAGCAACCACCACCAAATAAATTCTGGCAACAATTAATAGTAAACTAAAAAAGTATACACGACACCTAAAAAAGTGATGAGTGCATATAATCATTTAAACCCTGTTACCAGCACCACTGCCAGTTGACTTCAAAGCTTTCCAATTGTTACACCTGTTGATTGTGCCATCTTTATGTGGATCCAATATGTTTTAAAGACATCATTCCTGAGAGTGTGGCAAAATAAAAGGGCTGAACGTTTACTAACCTGTTGGTGGAACACTCGTACCAGTATAGATATGTGTAGTAGGTAATGGTGTTTTATTACTCAGTTGATCTAAAGGTTACAAAGTTTAAGGTTGACTTTAAAAAATGTACTTCAACTTCAATGACCATGCACTGATGTGTCTAAACTNCCGTTCTCGTGGCAACTTGGAATCTATTCATGTCTGAGGAGACTCCACACAAACTGATGAACTGGTACTTAGCAGTCCCTTGGAAAGAAATGATTTGGCCATCCAGGGTCATGTAGTTGATTCCACTAAAGGCAGTGCAAACCCCAGGTTGTTCTGTATATCAACAAAGAACAAAAAAAAAGAATTTAATATATGATTTATAAAATGACATGCATAATCGGAATTTTGATATCAATAAGCAATATCTTTTTTGAAAACCTATATTGACCTATCTATAGTTGGACACAGGTAAAAATCTTAAAATTGTAACAAACATGAGCCACCTTTGTCAATTTGTTGTCAGTTGAACTAATCAAATGCTTGTAATAACTGAAAGTAATGAATTTGTATTGGTCTTACTTACATGTATATCAGACATGAGCCTGGGTTAAAAAAAAACCTCCGATAATTTATCGTGGGACCCAAGCTCATGTCTGTTATATACAGAATTATGACTTTTCATTACTTATAATACTTACCTTCCACTGGTGGCACAGTTGGAGGAGGTCGTGTTGTAGCTATCTCTGTGATATTTGTCACTAAAAGAAAAGGAAATATGTAAGGTTTAGCAACTGTCATTGTTATCAAAATGTTATCAATTTCAGATACAATATCAATAAAACAAACATCTTGGTATAAAAAAAAGAACAAAATCACATCCATTTTGTTATATATGAATTAATTCAAATATAACAATAAAAAATCTTACATTACTCATTTTTCAGAAAATGCAACAAAATTGCAATTTTGTAACAATGAATGTGTACCAATCTGAAAAAGAGGAGTATGTGCCACTTCAACCTTGTGAAACCATTTCCATTGTGTGTGAAATAGTTGAAAGCCTGGATTTACACCTAAGGTGGCCATGCCACTGCAACTGCTGTATGAGTGTCTCTAATGCAAATCTTATACAGTAATTCAGGATTTCCAAATAACAGCACTCAAAATGTGTAGATCTGTTAAAATGCAATCAATAAAAGAACGTATGCAGTCAGTGGAAGTCACCATTTAAAAAAGTGCAAGTTGGAAACCCTGAAATCCTGAACCCTGAAAATCTGCCATGATCATGTGTAAAAATATAGAACCATGAGCCCTAAGTTTACCTCTTGTAACTCCACAGTTTATCTTACTGTGCTTATTTTTTCAGAGATGGTACATTTCTATCACAGATTGCTACCACTTGCGTGTTCAAGCAATTCCGCTGATGTATTTTTACCCTTTCTGTTTATTTAATTCATTGTATATCAATCACCTGCTGTCATCTATAGACCTTACTACACCCAGTTAAGAAAGCAACCACCACCAAATAAATTCTGGCAACAATTAATAGTAAACTAAAAAAGTATACACGACACCTAAAAAAGTGATGAGTGCATATAATCATTTAAACCCTGTTACCAGCACCACTGCCAGATGACTTCAAAGCTTTCCAATTGTTACACCTGTTGATTGTGCCATCTTTATGTGGATCCAATATGTTTTAAAGACATCATTCCTGAGAGTGTGGCAAAATAAAAGGGCTGAACGTTTACTAACCTGTTGGTGGAACACTCGTACCAGTATAGATATGTGTAGTAGGTAATGGTGTTTTATTACTCAGTTGATCTAAAGGTTACAAAGTTTAAGGTTGACTTTAAAAAATGTACTTCAACTTCAATGACCATGCACTGATGTGTCTAAACTTACATTATCTAAACTGTGACCTTTTAGTGATTAAATACAAGTCAAATCAACAAAATTATCATTGAATCATATATTAGCTGATTAGCATTCAAGAAAGCATCTAGGCCTCTACTCAAACAAAAATAAATACAAAAATACATGTACTTGCATGCAACTATAAGACTGCTTTTATAGTATACATGTACAAGCTTACCATATGGGCATTCCAATGCTGACTCAATGAAGTTGTGCCCAGCTGGGCACATCCACATTTTACCACCTTCATGGAGACTTGGTGGATTCAGCTCTATACCAACACACTCATTGCTGTCATTTACTTTGATGAATTTGGCCACAGGGCTGATGGGAAGAGTCAAAATGGTGGATAAGGCAAAGCCACAGGTTTCCATCTGTCTTGTGGGCTTAGGAGAGCGCAATACAATTTCTCCACTGAAATATGCCTGAAATGAAGGTATTATATTTGAATTGTTGTAAGTGATATTTTTCATGTTTCATTATTTTGAGCCTATGAAACAATAATAAGCTTTCTATAAAAGTTACATTAAACATTATTTAACATAAAAAAATACTCGTAAGCAAGCCAAAACGCAGAATTAAGTGCCATTTCAAATTACTTTGCACTGATATTAAAAAATAACACATAAATGAATCTTACAATGAATCTTATAAAACACAATTCAATAAATAATAATTATTTTTCACCTCAGTAACATTGTTGCTCAAATCCACATTTCCCATTTCTAATGTCAAGTTGACTAAGTTGCTGCATTGTGGCATCTTCTCTACCACCCCAATGGAGGCCTGAAGTGTACTGGTAAAGAGTTCATAGATATGAGAGATGTAGTAGCTCATACAATCTGTAGGCAGTACAGCATGGCTATTGTTCTGACTTGTGAATGTTCCATTCAGAAGGATCTTGTAGTATGGTGCAACTGGAGCTGAAAATAAAAATTGTACCATCTATAGTAATTACATCTTTTTAATTATACAAAGTTTTATTGCTGATCTCCTACTTAGCATGACTTTGAAGATACACCGTCAGCTTGTGTGCCAGAAAAATTAGATGAAAATTATCTAAATTATATCAACCTATACAATTTCTTATCTATTTTGCAAAACACACCTGTTAATATAATTTATCGGCAATGGACTTGGTACTAAAAAAGTTGCAGTGGACTTCATGGTGCCCTTGCTATAAGAGAGTTTATAATACTGACAATTACTCCTAGGTATCTCAGTACATTTACCAATTAAGTGCACATAAGGTAATCGGGAAACATCACTTACCAATCACTGTCAAAGTGGCCTGGGACCTGATAGTACCATAGGAATTCCTTGCCACACATATGTACATGTCATCATCTTCTGCTGCTGCAGCCAGAATGGTCAGTGCATGGCCATTAGAACTAAGGCTGTACTTGGAGCTGGCAGTGAGTGGACTCTCCACCATTCCCTAGATAATATGTCAAATTTGGTCAGTGTCATACCCAGTTAGATGCCAAGGAAATTTGTCTTTGCTTTGAAATTTTGCATGGACTACTTGTCTTTGCTAAAGAATGGACTGTTTGCTATCAAAGAGTTCAGAAACTGAACTTAAGCAATTTGAAAACAGAGCTAAAGTGTTTGAATTTACTACTTAAAATACATACATATATATATTTATATTAAACATTATATTAATCTGAAAAAAGTTCCTATTGTGACTATTTCCTGAATCACATACCTTGTACCACATAATAGTTGATATTCCCTCTCCAAAGCAAGTCAATGTTACATTGTCCCCCTCAGCCACAGCTCCACTAGTGGGTGGACCCCATACTTCAGGTAAACCTAAATATTCACAAAAAATGCATGTCATTTTCAAAAATTGTTTCCCTCATCCTATCAATTAAAGGGACTGTAAAAAGGGCCTATATATTGCTTTTGTCCTTGTCCTTGCTAATAAATCTTATGGGGTTGAAGCAGTATAAAAAAGGGTTTGAGGCAAAAATACCAGTACCAAAAAATAACTTCAAACTCTATCTTCTGACTAATGTCTATCCAGCTTGCCTCTCTAAAATATTCCATGAATGTAAGTGTTAAGCATTTCTATAATATCTTATATGTGAAGTACTTTACAGTGCATTATCCATGCAAACAGGAGACTAGCATGCGTTTTTGCATCACACTAACTGTATGTGTGCATGCGAATAGACTATAATACTGTCACTATTAGGTGGGAAGAGCCATCTGCAAAATTAGTTTTTTAAAGAAATATTGTACTTATATTGAGATAATGTAAATAAAAGTCACAGATATTCTTGGTTCCTTTGAAAGATCAGGTTATTTCAGGAATAAACTTTTTAATTAACACCCTCTTTTAATTACCATACCTCCAATCTTAACCTGTATTTCTGTATCTGCTGTAAAGTTTCCTTCTGATGCAGCACACCTGTATAACCCACTGTCCTTGTCTGTACTGTTCTTGATAATCAGTCCAGTTGTTCCAATTTCATACTTGTTTCCTTCAAAAATGATATAGAAAAAACACTGCTTTCTAATTTCATAACTGATAACTGATAATTATATCATATATGTCACAAAGAAAGCATTTTCAAAAATCTAAGTTGGAATATATTCCATAATCTGTATACCTTTTTTCCGATCACGAAGATGAAATAGACTAGCATGTCCAGACATTAATAAAATACTGAATCTCTGGATCCTTTTAATCTTTACCTGGCATAACACTGATCCATTCCATTCTGTCAGTGTTATAGATGCTCCAAGATGCTATCACTGTTTCAGACCAGTTCCCAGTCCTTTGACATGCCACCAGGACATGACCACCATGGCTAAAGTACTGAGTTTCTTCAGCTGTCACATTAGGGGCTAAAAAGAATTGGGCAGATATGATATTTTCAGTGACACAGAGGTAAATTTTGCAGAAACCAAAATATTAAACCACTTCAGCTAGGCCTTAATTTTTTTAACCTAAATAATCTCAATATAATATGAATATTTTTAACATACAATACAGGTGATATAATTAGCGACAGGATTCTTCATTTGGTTTCCAGGCTTTGATCTGACAAAAAAAAACTTCTTACTACATGTATGTAGTTTACTTGTACAAAAAAAATGTAAGTTAAAAAGGATCACTATTAAGGATTTGAAAACGTAGAACCTTCTATTAAAACAATTGCATTTAACTGATTCACACTTACTAAAATATTTTTTATAAGATAAACCTTTGACACAAAATTAAAACAAAGACAACTCTTACCAATACACGAGTATCCATCTCCACTATACGGTGGTGGGCAGATACACTTACGTGCAAAGTCCACCATACCACATTTACCATTGGGATGGCAAGGCCTCCTGTCACCCGTAACTATCACAGATTCCACATCTACCTTTTTGCACTGATATTGTATTGCACAGTCTGATGACAACCAGCTTTGTCCCAGCTTGTAAAGCAAAAATTAAATCTTAAACAATAGAGAATGTTTCAAGTCTTACAAGTACAATTGTTGTATTGTAATTTTGTGTTTATAAATGTGATATAAAAAGTAATTTTCAGTGAGTTTTTATCACACTGACAAAGAATACTAATTTCTGCAAGTAGAATTTTTAATTCATACTAGCTGCTATGATTATAAACTCACAGCATAATAGTTTCCTTCATCATCTGAACATCCGCATTGGTCTTCAGGGACACAGGTGGCGCCACTGAGTAAATAGCCTTCTTTGCATCGGCACCTTTCCACTGTTGCCTTGCTACAGTTTTCTGGAGCTCTGGGATTAATGCAAGTTGCAGGACAAGACGAAGATGTGCTGTCATATTCTTCATTTGCTTGACACAGAAGAGCTATAAAGATAAAAAAGAGTCACTTACATACACCCAAGTTTGTTTTGTGTATAATGAAATGAATAGTATCTTAGCATTAATAAATACTGAACATTTAGGAATTTTAAAAAAAAATTGTTTTAACATCACTAATTTGTTAAAGTCATCTGTGACTCACAACCAGGCTTTTAATTGAAACCATGGACACTTTACATCTCAAGACAAACTTACGGCAATTGGCTGCCTGTCTCCATGTAACTTGGAATCTATTGGAGGAGCAAAGGCTTGCAAAACTATCAAGATGGTTGCAGGCCTTTACTTTAGCAAGAGCCTCACTGCGTTGAAGTCCTCCACAAATGTCAGACACACATGCCTGGTAGATACGCACTGTTTGCAAATATCCACTATTTATACACTGGGAGAAAACACTTGTTGTGTCGTTTATCAGTCCACAATATTCAGAAGAAGTGACATTGATAAGCTGTTCTGCTGTACAAGTACCTGGTGGTATAGGATTTCCAGGTCTACAACTGTAATGAATAGAAAAAAAGCATTTCCAAAACAGATCATTATCATCAGTATGATACATTAACTATAAACTGGTACCATTAACTTGTTGAAAAATGTACACTTCTTGGCCTTACAATTTTTAAAGCTATTTGTTTAAAAAAGAGGGACACTACATTTTTCCATTTTCAAAAGCATTTTTCCACAAAGACCAATTTTTCATACCAAATAGGAAACTGCAATGCTAATGATACAAATTAATTTTACAAATTAATGTTTTCACTAACCCTGCAGCTCCACCAGACACTTCATAGCTTCCAGCAACTAAAGCCCAAATTTCACTAGGACTTCTTCCATTACTGATATTTGTTCCATTTCTCAGCAGCAGATCATCCATTTTATCTCCATTGAAGTTCCCACATATTCCACAAACTCTGTTTCTGTATTCAGCTGGTACGCGGATAGCAGCACTGTTTCCATTGAACATCACTTCAAAACCAGGACCACTAGACAATCTCACCTGCCCTCCTGTCAAGAGTTCAATCTTCACTTTTTCATCTGCAATCATCCTGGGTAGATAGTTGATTTTCAATCCATCAACCTTAATAAAAAGAAGATAATTATGTAAATATATTACCTAGTGAATTTTAGTGATGTTAATCACTTATTTTGGAACAAAGAATTACATGACACGCTACATTTTGCTCTTGGCACAACAGCATCATCAGGCTGGGGGGGGGCAGCTGGCGTCCCTTATCTCTATTTAGGGTTGGGGCCTGATGTCGGATGTGTAATGCTTTGTAACTGTCCTCCTGGTCCATTTTTGTTCTCCAGCTAATAGTTCATAGGCTGATATACACCCAAAGACCTGTGGGGATTCAGCCTGATGATGCTCTTGGGATATGAGCAAAACAGCTGTTTTTTTTAATAACTCTTTCTTCCAAAGTAAGTGATTAACATCACTAAAAATTGTTATTTCATACAACTTCTTGGAACCATGAACAATCTTACTGATAATATATAAAAATAATCAAAAACTTTTTGTCATTTTTTATTTAATTATTATTATCATTTTCATTTAAAAATAAAATTTCAAAATAAAATCTGAAAAAATTATACTTGATTCCTTGACATACACCACCACTAGGTTAATTATTTTGCAACAAAATACCAATGCTGTTATTTGTTACCTTGTGTCTAACTTGATATCAAAATATGCCATACAAATGACTATATCAGATCAACAAAGGAAACTGATACCCCCCCCCCCCCCCCCAAAAAAAAAAAAAAAAAAAAAAAAAAAGCTAACTCACCCACACCATTTCACCTGGCCCCAGTGTAACAACATGATTATAAATGTTCACTTCTACACCAAGTCCTAATGGCCCATTGTTCTGAAGCACTGTAAACCTCATCTGTTCTGCTGTCAAGTTACCACATGAACTAGCCAGCATGTATTTGCAAGTGCCATTAAATTGGTATGCTTCCTCATCAAATGTCACAAAGTTGGTCAGACTTGAGATACATGAACCAGTTTCTGTGAAAATACATACCACAAAACTGCAATTAATCTCTTGTGTGAGCAGTGATAATGACAGTAAATAACAGTTGTAACAGAGCAAATAATATTGCTGAAAGTGAACCCATCTGGTGCAAAGTTAGCAATTAGTTTAACAATAATTACATTTATATTTCCATGTGTCAATACTATGAAATGTTAAGTATTTCACTCACCTATACAACTGTAACCATCTCCTTCATAGGGTGGAGTGCAATAACAGCCTCGTTTGCCATTCAACAATGTACACTGTGCATTTGCATCACAACTTGAGCGATTTGTGGTCTTGATAAAGGATGTACCATTCTCATGCACACATGCATAATGTGTCAAGCAGTCAGTTGAGAGCCAGCTTTCTCCCAGCTGAAATTCAAAATTAATAATTCCAAATTTCAGCTTGACCATGTTAAGTGTTCCCTATTTATATTTTAAAGGAAATAGTAAAGTGAGCTAAAGGTGTTTAAATCAAACAAAACTCCTCAAGTTATACATTCACAAGGCCTACACTCATAGAATGCATTCTTTCTCCATACAATTCATTGAGGGAGGGTTGAGGGGGGGGGGGAACTATGTATTTGTGTGTATATAATAGTAAAAAATATTTGTAACATTGCATAAAATCATTAATCTGGTTATCGACTGATAACAGGAAAAGGGTTAGCTAAAATCCCAAAACTGAAAATTGCATTTTTTCCCAAAACTAAAAATACAGCATCACCTGCTTGACACTACACTTAAACTACATATTTTGGGCCATTTTTAATTTTTTCTAATAGAAAAAGATAACTGATACATAATTCCAAATATTTTGATCATTTTCCCCTTTATCCCCTTAAAAATTCCAATGATATTGGCCAAACTGAGTGTAGCACCTCATAGTAATTTCCTTCAGCATCTGAACATCCACACTGGTCAGCAGCCACACAGGTGTCACCACTGAGTAAATAGCCCTCTTTGCATTCACAGTCTTCCACTGGGATTCCTTCACATTCATCAGGAGCATTGGGATTTTGACATGTAGCAGGACAGGCAGATGCAGTTGGGTTGAACTCCTGATTACTGCCACAACTCAGGGCTATAAACAGAACAAAACATGCATTTGCCAATGACCAAGGTTTAATTTCAAAACAGTTTGTAATATTGCATAACAAGAAAACTATTTTTTCAAATTACGTATCCTAAATTGTCCCCATTATACATGTATGGTGCATGAAACAAATTTGATGTCCAAACACTATTGAGAACTTCACAATGGCCCATTCAAATTTGACCACCTTTTTCATTTTTTTAGAACAAGAAATAAAGAGATAATACATACGGCAATTAGTAGCAGCTCTCCATGTCACAGCTTGATCTGCTGCAGCACATTGATCTGCCATATTTGACAGAGCTTCACAAGCTGCTTCCTTGGCTGAAGATTCATCAACATAGATCAGCTCGTGACACACATCAAACCGGCAGTCAGCATATAACTGAGCAACATCCACAACACCACTTTCAACACAGGATGAGAAAACACTGTCACTCTTGTTCATCATGCCACAGTGACCATCATTGTCTACTATAGCATTTTGACTACCTATGCACTCAACCCAGTCATCAGGACTGCCTGCCTGGCACCTAGTTTCAAAAGGAAAGAAGTTTTGATATTAACGTAATTACAAAACAAAACATTTTATAATTTGCTGAAAAATTACTATATATTACTATATTTAGAATGAGTTATGGAACATTTTTCACATTTCATTTCCTGCATAATCTTTACAATCATTAACAGTAGATCAGGTCAGACTTACCCAACTGTTGATGGATCTGGAACCAAATAGCTATTACCAATTTGTGGATAGATGTCCCTCTTCCTGCCACCACTAACATCTGTTCCATCTGCCAGACGAAGGTCATCTGTTTTATCTCCATTGTAGTTGCCACAAATACCACACATCTGGTTCATGTATTCAGCAGGTACCCTTACAGAAGCTTTCGTGTTGCCATCAAATATCACATTCAGTCCAAAGGTGGTCCTCACCCTCACACGTTTTTTGCTCAATCTTCTTATGCGTACCTTTCCTCCTTCAATATTTAACACACGAGGGAGACTCTGCATTTCCCCATCAACCTACAATCAGGAATATTATGTGCAATCACTGGTCAGAAAATACAATCACAATTACCCACACAAGTAAATAACAGGCTATTATCCAGATAAATAACAAAGAGCTATATCTGCATTTGTTGGAGCAATTCAGAAAACAAGACAGATTAAAAGACTAATTTTGAGTTATATGGGACAAAGCTACATCCATTAATCATGAAATTTACTTACTAAAACCACTCTCCTTTTCTTAAGAGTGATGACATGATTGCCAACAGTCACTTCAATATTGCGTGTGAAAGAGACTTTCTTGCTTCGTCCACGGTGTTCTTGTTGGACAGTTACTCTAAAGTTGGTCAGATTTGAACCACTTGCAAGACAGCTCTTTGCTGCATCGTATCTACAAGTCCCTTGGAAGTTGATCTTCACTCCATCAAAGGTTTTGTAATGAGGGTCACCATAGATCCAGCAGGTTTTTGTGGCTATGAAAGAGAAGCAATATGGTTTTGTCACTCTTCTGAAATACATTACCTGAAAAGTCTCAATCATAAAACAAATTTCAATGGAACATAGACAACAGGTAGTTATTCTAAATTAACATTTAGTTAATTAGTACTTATAACCTACCTCTACAAGTGTAACCATCTCCTCTGTAAGGCCAATTACAATAACATCCCCGTATTCCATTTTTCAGCTTGCATCTGGCATTTACATCACAACTGGGTAAATGAGTATCTCTAATGAAAGATGTACCATTTTCTCGCACACATTCGTGTTTCACTGTGCAGCTTTCAGAAATCCATGAATGGCCAAGCTAAATGTAAAATTTAATGTCATGGCAAATCATATTTGAACTCATGAATGTCTGTTTCAAACAATATGCATGTGACAAAGGTACAATCTGTAAATACACATACAATTAATTTTCCTACATTTTAATATTAAAATAAGAATAAATATATTACAATATTCAATATCTAAGTCAGCAGGATGAAATGTGTACCATGTAATAAATTCCCTGTCCATCTGTACAGCCACACTGGTCCTCAGGTACACAGGTGTCACCACTCAACACATAGCCATCTTTACACCTGCAGTCCTCCACTGTGCCAGCCACTGTACACTTGTCTGCTGGAGTATTGCAGGTTGCAGGGCAGGCTGGGGCCATGGCGTCATACACCTCATCCTTACCACAAATCGGATCTGGAAAAGAAACAAGTATATTATTTTTGTCAACCAACGTAACCATGATATTGGCCATTGGTCACAAAGGAATAAGGCAAGTTTACAAAAGCTGAGGCAATGGAGCCATCCTGCCAACTGCCATTCAGATAATGGTCTTTAAGTTGTCAAATTGATAAAAGGAAAACACTATCTTACATTTATTTGGAAAAAAAAATGGTGCTCTGTAGCTGATTGAGTGGTTTTGCAAAAATGCATTCATGCACTGGCCTCTCTACCATGCTTTTTAAATGTATTTTTATAGGAAAGTAAGTCAAAAATATGTTTTTGGTATAATAAATACTTTTCACACTTACAGCAATTAGCAGCATTTCTCCACTTGACATAAATGCCATATTCTGCACAGCGTGAGGCAAACCCTTCTAAGCGCTCACAGGCAGTTGCCTTTGCTGCAGAGATCCCATATGCAAATGATTCACAAACATCAAATTCACAACTGAACTTGATCTCTTCAATGTCTAAATTCCCACTGTTGATACACTGTCTAAAAACACTGCTTGTGTCGTTTATCAGGCCACAGTAATTGGTTGAAGATACTAGCTCCCTTTGTGAATCTGTACATTCTATCCAGTCATCTTCTGAGCCTTTCTTGCACCTGTAATATTTTCATTTTGATGATGAAACGTGGGATATAAACCCCTTGTAATGTAAGACATTATTTGCAGATCTTGTTAGGCAAAGCCAAAAGACAACTTACAATATAGTGAAACATAAATTTAAAACTTTAATTACTTCAAACTCTATATTAAATTAAACAATGGCCTGTTTACTGCAGCCATATGTAAATAGACCTGGTTTTCACAGCAAAATTCAATTAAGTTTTTTAGTCTGCTAGTATTTCAAACTGAGCAGCACAGTGCACAATCAAACATACCCTGGAATACCAGCTCCTGGGATTTCATAGCTGTTACCAACTAGTGCATAAGCCTCTTTTCTCTTTCTGTCATTAACATTAGTTCCATTTGCAAGAAGGAAGTCATCGGCTTTATTTCCATTAAAGTTGCCACAAATCCCACACATAAGGTTCTGGTATTGTCCAGGAATTTGGACTTCCACTTTGCTTCTCCCATTGTATTCAATTTTCATCCCAAAGTCTGTTACAAGATGGACGGTTTTCCTTTTAATCTTGATTAATGACACCCTTCCACTGGCCAAGGTTGCTGGTAGTTGGACCCTCTTATCATTGATCTAAAATAATTTTGTGCTATCATAAAAACTGTATAAATGGCAGCTTCATTTATCAAAACATATAAGTGCCATATTAAAATCCCCCCTGCCATAAAAAATGAAATTGTCAGATGACAACTTAGTTTTTTCTTTCTTTTGCAAAGATTTTAGAAAAAAAATACAAAACAAAAGTTTTCAAACAAAATTTACAGCTATACAAAAGATACATTGTGCTTACACCTTATCAATATTTAACACACAACCATGGAACATTTAACTTCTCGTCACATAATGAACATACTTATATTTATACTCATTAATATCAAAATAGCTACCATAAAAACCACTTTGAAAATTATAACATCTACTCACAAAGATCCTTCCTTTCTTTTCAAACCGGATTACATTCCCAAAGACTTCTATTTCCACTTGACGTAACCAAGACACCTTTTTACCCCTACGATGTTCATTTTCCACAGAGACCAAGAAGTCAGTGAGATTTGCTTGTGAGGCACCACAGCTTTTAGCCAAATTGTATTTACAGGTGCCTTGGAAGTGTATGATCTGTTTATCAAATGTTTTATAATGTGGATCTCCATAACCAATGCAAGTTCCAATAACTGAAAAAAATGCAGAACCTTAAATCGTAACTTCATCTATGTAAAATTATAATGGATTTGATATCTCAGATGTCTTAAATGTCCATTATGATTGTTCAACTTGTATCATTCAATGAAAAAACATCTCAAATATTTTTTACTTTTCTGAGGGAATGAACATATGATATCTTTTAGTACAAATTACCACCTAAAGTGGTGCTGATTTTGGCCAAGTCATAGAGCATTTAGCAAAATATGTGTGCCATCCTTAGTTTTTCACAAGAATCCCTATATCACATACCAGCTTTTGTTTCACAGAATGTTCCCGTGTATGCTGCAGGGCAGCGGCACCGAAAACCATCTTGCAACTCAATGCAGTCTCCTCCATTTTGACAAGTAACTCCAGGACAATAATCAATATCTAATAGAAATCGTAGACATTGTAAACATTTATTTGCCTCTGACAATTTGATAGACTTAAAATTCTACTGTTGGCATCGGATTTCAAATCTTACTCATTTGTGAACTGTTAAAACAAGATAATATGATTAACCATTTACATAAAATGGTGACATAACTATTTGAAAAAGTATACATCTAGTAATCTGACTTTGTATAAATAACGTCACTATACATTTAACATTTTGCCGATATCTCACCTATTTCACAGAAAGTTCCAGAGAATCCTATGGGGCATATGCATTCAGCTGTATTGTTAGCAGGCACACACTTCAGAGTGCCACCATTTTCACAAACCACTCCATAACACTGATCAACATCTATAGAAAGCATAAGGAACATGGTTCTCATTGCTTATCATAGTTATCATAATACCAAACAATATGTTAAGTGTACAATTAATTATAAAGAAATTTATCACATCCATTAAAGATTTGCTTTTGCCACATCTTCTATACTAAATGTCAAACTTTTTTTTAAGATAGCATATTGAATATAAAACCAGTATTATGAAACAAAATACTGATAAAATATGCCCATAAAAGAGTACAAAAGAGAAAAATGAATCTTAAACATTCATTTCTTACCTTGCCATGTATTATTTGTCACTGAAAAAAAAGGAATAAAAAAGTTGTATTCTATATAATGTTTACATACAGTTTGGATTATTTTGTTATTTAACACACATTTTACATTTTTTAAATATTAAAATTGTCTTAACTTAGAAATTTGGGATGTTATCTATCCTTTTTGTAAGTTTAAGCTGTGAATGTACATAGTGAGTAGAAACAAACAGGCAAGAAATATATCTCTTTTGTATAAATACCATCACAAACATCCACCGCCACTAGTTTTCTGACTTCTTCCAGTAAATTATAGTTATTGACATCAAACACACGAGATGCATTTCCAGCAATCACTCTCAGTTCGTCCCTGTCTACTCCACCTCCAACGCCAATTGAAAACAGGGTGACCTTATTTTGTTGAACTAAGCGAGCTGCTGCCTTTGTGGCTCCACTGTTAGTGGACTTTCCATCCGTAATTACAATTCCTACTCTTGGCACATCTGGACGGTCATCTCTTTGAATGATCTGATTCAGCAATTTCAGAGCAAAATCAGTGTATGTTTTGCCCTTGTAGTAGAAGATGTTACGTATAGCTTCCTGCAGCTGTGTGTTATCTGTGAATTGACCCAGACTGACTTCAACTTTTGCATTATTAGAGAAACTTATAACCCCGACTTGTATGTGTTCTGGTCCAATCTGCCAGTAGTTTACAATGCTAGCCATGAAACCAAGTCCAGTTGCGAAGTTCTCACTGCCAACACTTCCAGAGGCATCAAAGAGGAAAACAATATCTGCTTTTCTCACCAAGCATTCTAGAATAAAAAAATAAACATTTATTCAAAAAAGTTAATAAAAGAATAAATACTGAAATCTGATAATAAAAAGATTTTTTTCTGTTTTATCTTCCAGAGGACAGCAGGAAATCAGTATCTGACAAATGAACAATCATTTTAAAACATTCAATTGGGATAACTTATGGAATTTTAAAGGATGTTTTTTCCTATCCAGAGAGTTTCAGCACATCCTAATCATTATAATCAACTTAAAAAAAAGCAATACAGTCAACTTAATAATTAACACCTGTTTTACATGCAAAGACAGATATTCACAAACATCGAAAATATAAATACAAACTTCAAATCATATCCAAGCTTTTCAAATTTGTACGATAAAAATGTTAACTTCTGTAAATAACTGAAAATGCTGCTTGCTAATTACCTATTGGCTCACTAAAGCAACATGTTCCCCTGTTTCCACAGGAAAAGGAAGTGTTTGTTGTGCCATCACAGTTACCAGTGTTCCTTAAACATACACCTTTTTCATATTCACAGATTCTCTGTTCACAGTATTCCCCATCATAGCCATTTGAGCAGTTGCAGTAAAAACCATTCAATCTATCTTCACATTGTCCTCCATTCTGGCAGATGACATTAATACAGTCATCTATGTCTAAAATACAAAGAATCATCAAGGAGACAATTCATACAAACTCCCACAGTAATACAGCAAAAGTGACATTCTATATTTACATAACAACCCTCAATACAGAAACGTTCAAAACAATATTACATTCATTGATCTTAAACAATCTTCAACTCGCATGTCTATTAAATGTTTGTACTCTGAAATGAAATCTAATACAACTGAATGTCTTTCTTTACCTGTTTCACAGTAGGTACCAGTATAGCCAACAGGACAGGAGCAACTGACATTTCCTGTTTGAGGATCACAGCCCAACAATGTTCCTCCATTATCACAAGATGCTCCAAGACATTTGTCTATGTCTAAAATGAAGAGAAAATTATCATGTGAATTGTCCTAGGAAATTCATAATTTAAATATCATTTACTAACATTTATCTTTTAAATTCATATCATGTTACATAGATTTCACTAACTAAACTCATAAAAATATCTATAACAACATTGTTTTTATCTCATTTGCTTACCCCTTGGACTGTCTTCAGTCACTGAAAAGAGAAAGATAAAATTCTTAATATACACATGTAACATAATTGTTGATTTTCATTTTTATCACACAAGCAAATCAAAAGATGTTCTACATTCCTTAAAATTAAAGATTAATTCTTTTTAAAATCATTATCACATTTTCATATAATCTTAATTAAATTTGTTAAGTTCTAAATGTTTGGCTGCATGTGACCATGTACATACCATTGCAAACATCCACTGCAATAACCTTCCTAACCTCTTCTAACAGGCTGTAGTTACCAACACTGAACACACGTTTTCTATTGCCAGCAATTGCCTCTAATTCATTACCATCTATGCCTTTGCCTACACCAATGCTAAATAGAGTTACATTGCTTTGTTGAACAAGACGTGCTGCTTGGATGGTTTTCCCTTTGTGGTTAGACTTTCCATCAGTGACCAAGATACCAATTTTTGGAACACCAGAACGTCCTTGTGAAAACACAGACAGTAAGTCATTCAAGGCCAGGTAGGTAGCAGTGCCACCCCTTGTATACTCAATGGCTCTGATTTGTTTCTGGAGAAGAGAGTTGTCTGACACTTGTTGAAGTCCAATAATCACTCTGGACTGGGATGCAAACCGAATCACACCAACATTTAGCCCATTGGGACCAAGGTTCCAGTAGCTTATAATGCTGGCAATGAACTTCAGACCAGTTTCAAAATTGCTCTCCCCTACACTGCCTGATGCATCAACAACAAACATGACATCTGCTCTTGTCACTAGGCACTCTGAAAAACAAAAGATATATTTGTAAGTAAATTATACTACATATTTGTGTTGAACCAAATAACAATGATCATCCTTCAAATTTTCTTGATTTAGGTACAAATTTATTCCAAAAGATTTCATCTTCAATTTCGTCTTATATTAGAGAAATGGTTATGTAGTTTAATGGATAAAATAACCACATGCAGCTCAATATTTGTAGCAAGGAGAAAAAGGTAATTAATGTGTCATTTGTCAAAATTTGATTTCTGTCATTAAAATTCAAATAAACATGTATTTTTGCCTAAATAAATGTTATGACTATATCTGCCTGTAAAGTAATTCACTCTTGATTTAACATAATACGACTATTCTCCAACATTGTTTAATTCTTTCAAAAGTTGGATCCAAGTGGAAAATTAAGCATCACTTCTTATGTGAGGTAGATATTTACAAAAATAAAACATTATTTTGTTTCTATATAATACAAACAAGGTCATACAAGAGTCCCATTAATGGGAGAGCATGTGCACACTAATGTATACCTTCACTTTTTTTTTTTTTTTTTTTTTGTCGAGACATGTGACAGGACGTGTGGCCAGACAGCTGCAAGTTTCTATGAATATATCACAACTGATAAGCTGGATAATAAACCAAAAGTTAAAAAAACAGAGCACGGTCACAAAGTCTTTAGACGCAAAGGCAAAAGAAAGACGCAAAGGCAAAAGACGAATTAAATTCTGACTCAGAATAATCTAAAAATACCAAAACTGGTGCAACCAGGAGTAGCAGTGCTGATAATGCCAGTGTGCTGGTACAAGCCACAAGTGTGGACAGAAAAACAAGTACCATTTTAGAACTGAAAGCAGGCTCAAATGAGAATATGCAAAAGGGTTTTTATAAACAATTGAAGGATTTGAAAAACGAAGCAAGTTATCATATGAAACATTCTGATTATCTTTCTCATGACTATTATGGTGAGCATTGTGATGAGTCAATTTATGAAGCTCATGAAATGGACCACATGGCAAAAGAAGAAGAATATTAAACCTGAAACATTTGAATAGAATTATTAAGTACCATAAATTTAAAATGAATACTTTAAAGACAGTCTTAAATCTGTTATGTCATAAAGAATACATGGCACATATAGACATAGCTAAGAGATGCATACTTTGTGTTTAAAATTTACCTATTGGCTCAATAAAGCAACATGTTCCCCTTTCTCCACAGTAAAATGTTGTATTAGTTGTGCCTTCACAGTTGCTGCTTTTCCCTACACAAAATCCACTTTCTTCTTCACAGACTCTTTGTTCACAGAATTCTCCACCATATCCATTAGAACAGTTGCAGTAAAATCCATTCAATCTATCTTCACATTGTCCTCCATTCTGGCAGGTGACATTCATACAGTCATCTATGTCTAAAATTGCAAACAACAAAAAAAACCATCAATTAACAAAGGCTTTTAAATCCAAAGAAGATAAGATGCCACCCACAACAAACAAGCAAAAACAAACATATAGAGACAACATTACAAGAAACATCACAGATAGACAAGGAGATAATTCATACAAACTCTTTCAGTAATACAACAAAAGTGACATTATATATCCATTAGAACCCTCTAAAACAGAAACTTTCAAAACAATATTATATTCATTTATCTCAGAACAATCTGCAACTTGAATGTCTAGCAAATATTTGTACTCTGAAATGATATCTAATACAACTGAATGTCTTTCTTTACCTGTTTCACAGTAGGTACCAGTATAGCCAACAGGACAGGAGCAACTAACATTTCTTGTCTGAGGATCACAGCCCAACAATGTTCCTCCATTATCACAAGATGCTCCAAGACATTTGTCTATGTCTAAAATGAAGAAAAATTATCCCACAAAATCAACTTTCAATAGTCCTTTGAAAATTCAATATTTCAAAAAACATTAGAGTTACATTCATCTTAAAATTCATTTCACAGCATTTAGATCCCACTAACTTGCACTGTAAAATATCATCTTTTTTCATTTCAATAATATTAATGTGCATCTAAAGATTCCATGTTGTACTTACCTGTTGCACTGTCTTCAGTCACTAAAAAGAGAAAGATAAAACCTCAATATAACACATTTGATACATTTGCAGAATCTCATTCAAACAATACATCATTTATAAATCAATTAATTAATAATATCAATTTGTTCAGAATTTAAGCTTTGTTCTTTAAAGAACATTGTACCATATATGGACAACAATTACTAAATCTCATTCCCATAGAAACCCTAAATATTGGTTTACTTTACATGTGGCCATGTACTTACCATTGCAAACATCCACTGCAATAACCTTCCTAACCTCTTCTAACAGGCTGTAGTTACCAACACTGAACACACGTTTTCTATTGCCAGCAATTGCCTCTAATTCATTACCATCTATGCCCTTGCCCACACCAATGCTAAATAGAGTTACACTGCTTTGTTGAACAAGACGTGCTGCTTGGATGGTTTTCCCTTTGTGGTTGGACTTTCCATCAGTGACCAAGATACCAACTTTTGGAACACCAGAACGTCCTTGTGAAAACACAGACAGTAAGTCATTCAAGGCCAGGTAGGTAGCAGTGCCACCCCTTGTATACTCAATGGCTCTGATTTGTTTCTGGAGAAGAGAGTTGTCTGACACTTGTTGAAGTCCAATAATCACTCTGGACTGGGATGCAAACCGAATCACACCAACATTTAGCCCATTGGGACCAAGGTTCCAGTAGCTTATAATGCTGGCAATGAACTTCAGACCAGTTTCAAAATTGCTCTCCCCTACACTGCCTGATGCATCAACAACAAACATGACATCTGCTCTTGTCACTAGGCACTCTGAAAAAAAGATACATTTGTTAGTGAATTACATGTCGTTTTGAACTTAATACAAAACATCATCCTTCAAATTTTCTTGATTTAGGTACAAGTTTATTCCAAAAAGTTCCATCTTCAATTTCATCTTATATTGGAAAAATGGTTATGTAGTTCAATGGATAAAGTAACCACATGCAACTCAATATTTGTAGCACTGACTAAAAAATTATGAATGTGCCAATTGTCAAAATTTTACATGCCTGTCATTATCCTTCAAATAAACATTAATTTTTGCAAAAATAAATGAAATGACTAAGTAATTAACTCAAAGTAAAACATCTCCAAACAATGTTTTATTTTTCAAATGTTGGAATATAGGAGAAATTTAGTATTACTTATCATAAAAAACAATATGAGGTAGACTGCCAAATATGAAAATATTATAGGTAATAAGCTTTGGAGTCAAAAAGCTTAGTAAATAATAACTACCAGGATAAAGTCAATGTTGTAACAGTACTTAAAGTCCTACTACTGACAATTTAAAAGAACAAAGATGATTTATTCAACAAACATATAATTCACAAAAAATAAATGAAAATTTAATTTTACCTATTGGCTCAATAAAGCAACATGTTCCCCTTTCTCCACAGTAAAATGTTGTATTAGTTGTGCCTTCACAGTTGCTGCTTTTCCCTACACAAAATCCGCTTTCTTCTTCACAGACTCTTTGTTCACAGAATTCTCCACCATATCCATTAGAACAGTTGCAGTAAAATCCATTCAATCTATCTTCACATTGTCCTCCGTTCTGGCAGGTGACATTCATACAGTCATCTATGTCTAAAATTGCAAACAACAAAAAAATCATCAATTGACAAAGGCTTTCAAATCCAGAGAAGATCAGTTGCAACCCCATAAAAAACATAAATAAACAAACATTTAGAGGCAACATTACAAGAAACATCACAGATAGGCAAGGAGANGGCCAGATTACTGAGGCTGTCTGGGATATCTATAACAACATTGTTTCCATATAGTTTGCACTGTAAAATATCATGTTCTTTTTTCATTTCAACAAAATTTTAATTAAAATGTGCTTAATTTTAATCAAAATTAAAATGTGCATCTAAATATTCCATGATGTACTTACCTGTTGCGCTGTCTTCAGTCACTGAAAAGAGAAAGATAAAACCCTCAATATAAAACATTTGATATATTTGCAGAATCTCATTCAAACAATACAGCACTTGTAATTCAATTATATCAATTTGTTCAGAATTTAAGATTTGTCCTTTAAAAACATTGTACCATGCACAGACAACAATATCTCATTCCCATAGAAACCCTAAATATTGGGCTACTTTACATGTGGCCATGTACTTACCATTGCAAACATCCACTGCAATAACCTTCCTAACCTCTTCTAACAAGCTGTAGTTACCAACACTGAACACACGTTTTCTATTGCCAGCAATTGCCTCTAATTCATTACCATCTATACCCTTGCCTACACCAATGCTAAATAGAGTTACATTGCTTTGTTGAACAAGACGAGCTGCTTGGATGGTTTTCCCTTTGTGGTTGGACTTTCCATCAGTGACCAAGATACCAATTTTTGGAACACCAGAACGTCCTTGTGAAAACACAGACAGTAAGTCATTCAAGGCCAGGTAGGTAGCAGTGCCACCCCTTGTATACTCAATGGCTCTGATTTGTTTCTGGAGAAGAGAGTTGTCTGACACTTGTTGAAGTCCAATAATCACTCTGGACTGGGATGCAAACCGAATCACACCAACATTTAGTCCATTGGGACCAAGGCTCCAGTAGCTTATAATGCTGGCAATGAACTTCAGACCAGTTTCAAAATTGCTCTCCCCTACACTGCCTGATGCATCAACAACAAACATGACATCTGCTCTTTCCACTAGGCACTCTGAAATATGTATGAAAATGTATTAAACTACAAACAGTATTAGTTTTAAATATTTAATATTGACAAAACTCCCAGAAATTATTTTGGGCTAGAAAAATATAAAATACATTTTATTATTTTTAAACAATATGACATACATATTAAAATGGGACAAAAAGATATATAGCTTACCAGAAAAAATAAACACATGCAACACAATTTGGTAGTAACAATAAAAAGTTAATCATGTGCCACCCGTCAAAATTTTGTATATCTATAAGTATCTTTCTGATAAACATTGTTATAAATATAATGAAAGCAATGACTACGTCGGGCTGTGAAGTAATTCACCAATCACGCAATGCACTATCTACATATCAACATTGTTTTCTTTTTTAAAAGTTGGACCAAAACTAAACTTACCCATAGTACAATGCACTATCTATCTTCATCTCAACATATTTTAATTTTTTCAAAGTATGAGCAAAACTAAAATATATAGGTAAATGATGAGATTTTACCTATTGGCTGAATAAAGCAACATGTTCCCCTTTCTCCACAGTAAAATGTTGTATTAGTTGTGCCTTCACAGTTGCTGCTTTTCCCTACACAAAATCCACTTTCTTCTTCACAGACTCTTTGTTCACAGAATTCTCCACCATACCCATTAGAACAGTTGCAGAGAAATCCATCAGATCTTGATACACACTGCCCTCCATTTTGACATGTAATGTTCTGACAGTATTCACCTTAAATACATTGAACATCAGACTTAATAAAATATAATCCTAATGTCATAATTTCCCCTATGTTTAATACTTAACTTCTTTTATCCCTCATTTTTGTTTCCAGTTAATCACAAACAAGCACATAATAATGCAGTAATACATGTAACCCACAAATCATACATTAAACTGGTTGCGCATGTTAAGATAAAAATTATAATAGTTCCTGATATATAAGTTAAATATCATCTCTATATGCTTCTCTTACTGATACAAGAATATCCATCTCCAACAAATGGTGGCCTGCAGACACATTTAGGTGTGAAATCTACCATCATACACTCAGCATTAGGGTCACATGCTCGGTGGTCAACAAACAGCACTGAAGTTTTGCCATTTTTCATACACCGAGTCCAAATTCTACAGTCCTTAGACAGCCAACTTTGTCCAAGCTAAAAACAAAAGCAGCTACAATCATAATATATAACACGTTTCATTTAAACTCTCCTATGCAATTTTAGTTAGTGTGTAGTTTTTTTTTTTCAGGTGGATAAATTTTCATTTCATTAGCAATTTACATGTAATGATGTATTGTTTTTCAATTTCCAGCTTATTCTATTTTATGACAAATAAGAATTTCTTAAAAACTTCAAATATGCATTTTTATTCTTCTAAGATATTTAAATTCAACATTTTGTCAGAAATAGGTCCATTTTGGATAAAATGTTATCTAAGTACACATAAGTTTCATGGTAAAAGGTCCACTTTTTCAGAAAAAGAACCTTCCTTTTCAATTTGCTGACTACAGGCCTGAAAATACAACTTCATTTTGAAAGCCATGCTCACAGCATAATAGTTTCCCTCATCATCTGAGCAACCGCACTGGTCTTCAGGAACACAGGTAGCGCCACTGAGTAAATAGCCTTCTTTGCATCGGCACCTTTCCACAGTTGCTTCATTACATTTTTCCGGAGCTTGGGGATTTTGGCAAGTTGCCGGACAAGCTGAAGATGTGCTGTCGTATTCTTCATTTGCTTGACATGTCAAGGCTGTTAAAAAATTTCATTTCTATTAAGATGTGCATCACACTGCATTGTAAGCATTGCCCTGTTTTCTTTAACCTTCATACAATTCATTTTTTATTGGTTAAAAGTTTTACTTTCATTTCCAATTCAAGTAGTGACATCCATCATAAACAGTGTGATATCTAATGGTTTTGGTGTGAACAACAGTCACAACTTATTTATTTATTTATCAATTATTATTATTATTTTTTTTTAAATTTATTATTTATTTTTTTTTTTGCAGCTATAATACTTTTTATGAAAAAATAAATATTTCTACATTTATCTGACCACCTTATTTGTGCATCTATTGGAATACTTCCTTTTATGAATACGTATTACTGTTTATGGTCATGTGGCTAAAACAAACTTACGGCAGTTAGCAGCCTGTCTCCATATAACTGGGAATTTATTAGATGAGCAAAGGCTTGCAAAGCTATCAAGGTGGTTGCAAGCTTTCACTTTAGCAAGAGCCACACTGTTCTTAAGTCCTCCACAAACGTCAGACACACATGCCTGGTAGATGCGCACTGTTTGCAAATATCCACTATCTATACACTCGGAGAAAACACTTGTTGTGTCGTTTATCAGTCCACAGTATTCAGAAGAAGTGACATTGATAAGCTGTTCTGCTGTACAAGTACCTGGTGGTATAGGATTTCCAGGTCTACAACTGTAATGAATAGAAAAAAGCCATTGCAATGAAACATGTACAAATATAAAATGATAAAATATAAAAATTAACATTGTTCAGTTTCTGTAACAACTTCAGTATCAATATAAACATGTTCTCCATCAAACCAGAGAGAATCATTTTTGTACATAAAAAGTATTCACCACAATCACATTTTTCAATGTAAATTGAAGGCTAATGTTACTAATGAAAGTTTTCACTAACCCTGCGGCTCCACCAGACACTTCATAGCTTCCAGCAACTAAAGCCCAAATATCACTAGGACTTCTTCCCCTACTGATATCTGTTCCATTTCTCAGCAGCAGATCATCCATTTTATCTCCATTGAAGTTCCCACATAGTCCACAAACTCTATTTCTGTATTCAGCTGGTACACGAACAGCAGCACTGTTTCCATTGAATATCACTTCAAAACCACCATCAGTGGACACTCTCAATTGCTCTTTTGTCAAGAGCTGAATACTGACTTTATCATTAGCAACTACTCTGGGTAAGTTGATCTTTACTCCATCAACCTTTCGGACAATTAAAATGGATCTCATATTAAATTTTATAATGAATTGTTCTTTATATATATATATAAAAAACGGTATTATGAAATTCTACAAAATTAAAGATAAATTTCAATATGATTCTAAAATTTAATTTAAAAAAATCATGTTTGTTTGTTATGGGATAAAGCTTTTCTGGTATACTGAACAGTTTATTCACTGCACAAACTCAATTTAAATAATAAAATATACACTACCACTTGTACATAGTAATCAAAAGAAATGCACTTACCAGTATTAATCCTCTTTCCCCCAATGTTAATGTATGATTATAAATGTTTACTTCTATGGCAAGTCCTAATGGTCCATTGTTCTGAAACACTGTAAACCTCATCTGTTCTGCTGTCAAGTTACCACATGTACCAGCCAGCAAGTATTTGCAAGTACCATTAAATTGGTAAGCTTCCTCATCAAAAGTCACAAAGTTAGTTAGACTTGAGATACACGAACCAGTTTCTAAAAAACAAGTGAAATCATTATGAAATAATCTACTCTTTATTTTAATAACTCATTCTAAATACATACTAATTAGGTCCATTTTACTTTTTTTAAATTTCCTAAAAGCAAAAAAAAAAAGAATTGCTCGTTCAAATGGAACCTTACCAACATCAGTCTAGCAACCTAAAAAATAAAACTAAAGCCTCGATCACAACCGGATGCACAAATTTTAGGATCGTATGTCCCCTGCGATTTTTGGCTGTTGTGGACCCAGACAGCCTCAGTAATCTGGCCCACGTCTGGCCCAGATCTGGCAACGTCTGGCAATATCTGGGCCAGATTTTGCCAGACACTTGCCAGATCTGGGCCAAGTCTGGCAAAGTCTGGCATTTATGCCACATTTTGCCAGACACTTGCCAGATCTGGGCCAAGTCTGGCAAAGTCTGGCATTTATGCCACATTTTGCCAGATGCTGCCCAGACTTGGGCCAGATATGGTACTTTCATTTTCAATTTTTATTTTCTATTTATTTATTTTTTATTGACCAGTGAGCTGAATGCATTGAACTGACGTCATTTGATAAATTTTGATTTAATTTATCTCTCTCTCTTTTCTTCAAAGTCCCCTCATAAGTGTGCTATTTGTTTAATTTGACTTGACATTTGAATGAATTCACTG